TTAAGTGAAATATAATTCCCTGCTTAGCCAAAATGACATCTTCGTCCCTACAGGTAAAAAAAAAAGGGTTTACTCTGAACTGCGTTGTGTACAGTGGATTTCTGTATCACCTTTTGTCCGATGTGGTCGGACACACTGAAGAGAATTGCCATGGGTTAATCCCTCTCATATCTCTGTGTCTTCAGCACAGCAGATGTTCTCCATCTGACCTGCACAAAAGCCCTCTGTTTTGGTTACCAGGCTTGTCCATTCCTGAAAGGTCACAGGTCACCGTGGTCTCAGGGTGAAGCTGTCACTGCAAGTCTGAACATCTGACATCCATCAGAGCGTGACGCCGACGCCATGCCTCAAACAGGGCTCCACAGAGTCTTGGTGATGAATGTGAGAGAAGATGTCCTATTTTCCTGCTGATGCAGCTAAGATCTGACGTCCTGAGACTGAGTTTCACTGAACGTCGGGGACCATGCAGGCAAAGGGTAGAACACTGCATGTGGACTTAAGTGGTTCAAAATGTTGACTTGATAGATGCCTGTTTAAACTGGGTTTATACTAGCCTAGAAAAGCTCATGAGAGTGACACAATAGGAGTGGGGTTACGAGATATGCAAAAAGTACTTGTTGAGCAGGCAACTAGAGGCCCCAGGTCAGGGGTCTGCAACCCAAACTGCTCAAAGAGCCATATTGGACCACAAAAACAAAAAATAAATCTGTCTGGAGCCGCAAAAATGTAAAAAGTCTTAAATATGCCTCGTATGGCAACACGGGCTCTAAGTGTATTATCCCACTGTAGAAAAGGACAATATGTGATAGGAATCCAGTTTGTGTGTCCTGTTTGTGTGTTTCCTTTTTCCACCACCAGGAGGTGCCCTGTCTTTGCTGTCCCTCCCTGCACACCTGCGGCTCATTGGACCATTATCTGGAGGAGTATTTGAGCAGTGGACTGTCACTAGCTTGAGGCCAGAGTGTTTGCCAGTTTTGGGTACTCTAGCCAAGCTGAGATTAGCTGAATCTAACCTAGCTTAGTTTCTCTGAGTCTAGCAAGTTTTTGTCTTTGCTCTCCGGCAGGAAGCTTTCCTGTGGTACTGGATACCTGGACCTTCTCCCCCCTGGAAATACCGAGTTCACACTGAGTAGGGGTAAACCTCCACATGTTCCGTTCAAGTTCCCATCGGAAATCCGAGTGACAGTCCGCTCCATTACTCCTCCGGGTCCAACGCTTGTCTACCTGTCCGCCCTCCAACGTGTGCTCTTTTCACTGGATGTCCCACACAGACTGGATTCAAGGACTAATCTGGCCCCCCCTCAAACGTGAGTCCCATTCCTGCATTATCTAAGAGCATCCAAGATTCCCACGGTCCCTGAACTGACCTCTGAACTTCCCTTCTCACTTCCAGTTCCGGTTCACCAGATCACTGAGTACCAGTTCCTACTCCTGTTGACTTCCACATAAACCTGTTAAAATTTGACCGTGCTCTCTGAGTGGTTTCTCTGCATGTGGGTCAGATATGTTAGCCTGACGTAGTCCTACTCAATTCTAGTCAGAATGAGTCTGATGCTGCTCCATAGAGCTGTGATTATGGGGCGCGTTTCGAACGAACCAGGAAAAAAATGCCTCTGCACTCAATTGGATAGACCTACAACCAATAAGAGCAACGGAGTGCGTGACGTATGTTAAGCGACGCATAGTTGTTGTCAACAAAAATCAAAGCGTGCAGTTGCACGCCTATAATAAGAAGATGAGCCTTGATCGCGTTTCTCTGTTCCTCTTTTAAAATTAATTTGCTGTCGATATCTTCTAGAACAGACCTAATAGCAGAATCTACACAGCTGAACTCTCCAGCGGCAGCCATTGTTGTTGTCACCCAAGCGCGCTTTGGTCACGTGGTTGATTGCGTTACTCTTGATCATCTGTCCATCATCGTATAAAGCCCGCCCTGACAATTTGATTGGCCCGCCAGATATTGTGCTAGCATACTCGCGCTACTGTTGAGCAATGCCAGACCGAACTTCCCGACCTCAAACCTTGTGGGCGGGACTAAGTTCAGAATGGCACCCAGGCTACAGATTCGTAAAACCGATCCTGACAATATGGACTGAAATATATAATAAGCATTTATGACTAAATGTTTATCCTGGAGCAAATGTCAAATAGCAGCATGAGGTGCGGGAGGAGCAGATAAAACTCTCACTGTGTGGAATTCATCACGTGTTGCTTCACCGCCCTTCACCGCACACTTTAAGTTTTGCTGCATTGAATAAATTATAGGAACACAATAAAGGAATCTTTCTATGGCGGACGTGTTTCTGTTGGGAGGAGCTTATTGAGTCATGAGGAACCAAGCAGGAACTGACATCCATCAGAGCAGAGTTCTCTAATCCTGAAATCCCACATCCTCCGTCATCATCGTTTCTTGGTGTGATTTATATTTTTAGGATTTGGGAAAAAAAGACGAAAGAAAGTTCCCATCCCTGCATCAAAGTTCTACCTGTTTGATCTGTGGATGGTTTTCCATCCTTGCAACCAAACCAGCAGCAGTAGTGGAGCTTCGAGATGCAATCCACTTCTTAAATCTATCTTTGCTCTCCTCTAATTTATCCAGAAGTTCTGCAATCGCACTTTTTCTCTCACTCCCAACTTGGTGGTCGGCTGCATATTTAGCAGCCTTCCCTTGAAATGCCTTTCCAAATTTAAATTTTTGACAACTTCTTATTACAAAGCACAAATGCAGGCAATCCTTCAACATTGATAATGAGTTAGGTTACAATTAAGTTATGAACACTGATCTCTATGGCTATGAAGCAAATGATTGCTTAAATGTTGTCAGAGTCTTGGTCTGTTTGTTCCTGTTTTTCTTGGTTCTCCATTTGTTGTCCTCTGCTGCCCTCTTGTGTCCTCCCTTGCTCTGTTTCTCTGTTCTGCCTGCACCTGTTGTCAATTTCCTTGTCAGCTCTCTCTTTGTCTCTGTCCCCTTTAAAAGCCCTCCCTCTTCAGTTCCTGTTTGCTGGATCCTCGTCTTACTTCCCGTCTATCATCTGCCTGCCTTGTCTCGTCTCTCCCTGGCTTCTGGTTTTGGTTAATCCCTGATGTCTCCTTGGTTCTGGTACGTTTGTAATTTTCAGTTGGACTCTGATTCCTGCTTCTGGACCTGTGAACCAAAATAAACAGACTTTCATTACCTCTGCCTACTGGTCTCTGCGTTTGGGTCCTCCATACTAACACCGCTCCTTGACAAATTTATTTATTATACAAAAGTTTACAGCATTGAAAGACATAATTAATTTGTGTTTGACCGCCTGCATGCCATATTAAAATAAACAAAAAAATCGATTTTCATATATTTTTGAAAAAGCTCCAGGGAGCTTGCGGCTCCGGAGCCGCGGGAGGCCGACCGCCGAGCTAACCACTAGGCCACCACTCCTGTCTAAAAGTCAATTTCTAAATCAACTTGATTATTACATATCAAGTCAAAGTAAGTAACAAACTCTTTAAGGAGAAAACTCTTTTTATCCAATAGACCCACAAATAATTGTTTTAAATTTTCTTTTTTATCATTTTAAAAATATTTAATAAGATTATCAAGATTTAGCCTTTACAAGTATGTTTGGCTCAGCCTACTGTATGGAAGTAAATCTGTGTCGCTGGGATTTGAATTAAAAATGCCACTGAAATTTAAATGTTGTATGTTTCTACTTACTGTTTCAGTGTTAAAATATATTCAGAACACATTTTTGACCAAAAAAGAAATTCATTGTGATTATTTCTACAAAGTTGAAATTTCATTTGTTATTTTCTCTTCAAGCTAAAAAATCACATTACTATTTCAAAGTGATTACATTTTCAATGCTTATTTTTCAGTTTAATTTTTCATATAAAAAAATTAATTTGCATATAAAAAAATTCAACCTTTCAAAATTCAAACTCAATATTTTCAGCCTCCTGAGATTTACCTGGCTCTATTTCACTGTCTTAAATTTGGCGTCTAAATTTAGTGTAAAAAGGGAAGGGTTACTTCAGGTCACAGACAATAGCAATGGATTGTGGCGTCCAACACCGAGCACCGAATATATTTTAACACTGAAACAGTAAGTACAAACATACAACATTTAAATTTCAGTGGCATTTTTAATTCAAATCCCAGCGACACAGATTTACTTCCATATATAAGCCCTTGTTGGAAAAAAGTGAGAAATTGAAATATACAAGATCAATGTACTCCCTTTTACTATTTGGTATTGCAAAATACATGCTACCATCCATTATTTTCAGAGATGGCAAAAGTACTCACTTTCCGTACTTGAGTAAAAGTACAGATACTCTGGTAAAAGTGGAAGTACTGATTAAACTTCTTTACTTAAGTAAAAGTAACAAAGTACAGGCTTGTAAATGTACTTAAAGTATAAAAGTAAAAGTAGAAACCACTTTTTTCATGCCGTTGCCTACATTTTAAATAGATGTCTGCCAATAGGACTAGATCTCCGTTGTGTTCATTTTCAATCATCTCGTCATCCATGCTACTATGCTAACGCCACCGCCACCAAGCTGCAATGATTTGCCGCCAATGAATACCGCCGAATCTGTCGATCAATCTTGTAGCGGTGCGTCAAATGCAACGTAGATTCCCATCCAATTAGATTGAATTTGGTATTGATGACGTGAAAAATAATAACGGTAACTCCATTGAAATGATTCAAAACTAAAGTAACGAGCCAATTTTTTAAAATGTAAGGAGTAGAAAGTACAGATATTTGTGTAAAAATGTAAGGAGTAGAAGTAAAAAGTCGCCATAAAAATAAGTAGTAAAGTAAAGTAAAAATATCAGAAAAATCTACTTGAGTACAGTAATGAAGTTTTTGTACTTCGTTACTTCCCATCTCTGATTATTTTTAACTGCTGCCTCTTGGCCAGGTTGCCATTGCAAATATGATTTGGTTCTCCTCTAAACTAGCTGGTTGAAAAAGTTTTAATGATAATAAAACAAATACAAGTATTTGGTGAAGGAATGGGTTAGATAATGATTTATTAAAACACAGACAGTGTCCATATTTTAAGGATTATTTATCATACATTATGAGCCAGGCCGAACTTAAAACCCTGCACTGACAGAATGTTAATAATGTCTACTTAGGTTATTGCACTAAAAATGTCAAAGTTCAGCAATAGTAGACAGCAAAGCCATCAGAAGACCAGTGTTTCCCAAAGCCAGGGCAGCTAACAGGAGAGTCTTCAAGCATGAGTCCTGAAACAGACATGGAAATAAAACATCTTTTAAAACACCAAAAACTGCTACAAAACTCACAGAAGCAGCTTATACTTTTCAGGTAGGAAAAGTATAAAATCTTTTCCTTTAAAAAATTTCCCCATATTCTTTGCCATTCAAACCTTGGATTTCATGGAACTCCAGTATATGTCCTTTTCCAGAGAAGGCATGTCGATGGGCTTGATTTATCCGGGTAAAAAGTGACAGACTGCTGCACCTTAAATGCACCAGGGAGCGTTATCACAGATCCCTACTCCCAGCAGCTGGAAGACTTTATAACCTCCACTGTTCCCAACAACCTCAATAAGTTGATTTCGCACAGTTTCTATCTTAGACAGTTAAATAACTTAACTTAGTGAGTTAAATAATATTTTCAAATGTCCATTACCGTAAAAATGTCAAGTTATTTATTCTCCATGTGAACAGTATTTATATTGTTAAAACACTTTACTGTACAGCATATTATTTGTTTATTTATTATGTTATTTAATAATAACATAATAAATAAAGTTATTAAAAATAACTATTATGTTATTTTTATATATTTTTCTAAGGTGAACATTTGTGTGACCACTTTTTTCGATAATCTTTTTGCTGCTGTAAACACCAGAATTTCCCCATGGTGGGACAATAAAGGGATTTTCTATTCTATTCTATTCTATTCTACTCTATTCTATTCTATGCCAAAAAGAAAACCTGGGCCTTTATGAGCCTTCTGTTCCTGTTGCTTAGAAGAACATAAGCCTGAGGAAAAACTGCACTACACTTTCAGTAATAAGATGTTTATTTTTTCCAATTGATAAATAATAATAGATAACAGCTTTAGAATTATGCAGTTGATTCATTCATTCTGTTCTTAAAATGAACTGAATAATTATTGAATACGATGGTGGCAGTACTCAGAAACATCTCCGGTCGGCGGCTGGGAGACAGTCACTGTATAAAACCATTGTTATATTAAAATACAGTCTAAGGAGGTTTAACATTTTTAATGTGCAAGAAAAAGTCAGACTACTATGATCAATAGAAGGCTACTCCAATAAAATACTTGCTAAACTGAGCCGACAAATGCTAAATTAATATCTACATAAACTTAAAAAGAAAAAGTTCAAATACAAATGATTACATTTTGACAATATGCCTAAAAAACACATTTTATTCACTTTCAGTGTTAATAAAGCTAGAATGAAAATATCGGGAAAAACCTTTATTGTCTAGCTGAGGTGAGGCTGCTGTAAACATAGAAATAATTATCAATACATATTATTTAGAATTATACATTAAAGGTTTTATATAAAGATATATAAAAATGATAAATTATCCATTAATGGTTATATATAATGCGGATATAGTTATCATTTTATAATTTATTATTCTCAATAATATTTTAGAGTCATTTTATGTATCTAGAGGTAAGCATTATGTTTATATTGATATTTATAAATAAAATTTTATATACACCTATTACACTAGAGCAGAGGTATTCCAGGCCAAGGACCCCAAACTGATGGTTAGATGGAGCGGGGACCACCTAATTATATATATTGTATTAAATAATGTTCTATCAAACTGGCCCTATAGTTACTCTACTCTATAGTTACAGATGGAGTAATGTAACTAAAGTAATCCCTCCCTGGGATTATTCAAGTATTTCTGATTCCTGGTTGATGGGACAGGTGTTGTGAATGAAACGGTGCCCAGCTTGAAAAAGCCCCTGTGTGTCGCTGAATGTGAGCATTGATGACTGAAAGACATCTTCTGCCTCCATTTATCTGTTTACTACAGTGTGTTGAATTCATGTTAATGTGGATTTAAAGACATTTCAATTAGTGGAAAAAATTGCAGGGAGGAATATAAAAAAAAGTCTAATCAACCAAAACTTTCACGACCCCCATGCAGTACCTCTGTGGACCCCCTAGGGGTAGCGGACCCCCTATTGAAGACCTCCACAGTATAGTACTTACTGAATGTTAACCCCTGTAAAAACATTTAAAAGCACTGATCCATGTGCTCTTTCACATGTAACTCTTATAGCAGTCCGTGACAGAGTTTGAAAAAAGAGTGAAAAAAGTGAAAAAATAATTACAAAAAGTTCAATATTCAACGAATAATGATTCAATAAAAGGACTGATCTAATGTTTTGTCATCTTCTCCTTTCTATCTCTTCTTTCTTTCATCTTTTCTCTCTTTTTTTTCTTTTTTCCTTTTCTTCTTCTGTTTTTCTGCTCTATTTACATAGCAGTGTCCATATAAACTGTAAAACTTCCTGCATAATTATAATAAAGCAATTTATATGCATGAAACAAGTAAAATCTGTTGGGCTCTTTTTGGCATCAAGACAATTATTCTTATTGCCACATTGCCAGACAGGACACTGTAAAAAAAAATAAATAAATATATAGATAAAAAAATAATATAAAATAAAAAGGACTGATCTATTTTTTTAGATACAACTCAATCTGGTCTAAAGAGACTCTTAGTGTTTAAATAGTTTCCTTACCTTAGAACTAATCTGTAGTTGTTCAGAGGAGACAATCTGTTGCTCATCTAATTGCATTGCTGCAGATGTATAAAGAAGACCTTCAGATTAACAAACACAGCTAATAACTAATGACTAGTATATACTCTGCAACGAACAGGCAAATTAATCTTCATACATTTCCTGAACTGAAAGTGTTTGTTGATCAAAAGAAGAAGCCGGAAAAAGGCCAACCAAGTCACGTAGCCAATCAGAACATTTTCTGCTTGTGGAAAAGGGAGGAGCAACGAGGACTGACGAATGCCTGTAAACATGGCAGCCACTGGAAGAAAGCAGGATATACGTTAGACCAGTGAATCTTGGGTGAAAAATAAAAAGCAGACAGCATGAGAAGAAGTTTAAAGCAGGTTTAGGTAGTATTCTAAGCTCCGATCATTTCCCAGGACTATGTTTAATCCATTTCCAATTAGAATAAAAAGGTCTGACATAAATCCTAACACATGAAGATATAGCAAATTAGATTTAAAAAATATATGAGTTGATTAATTTGGTCACTGTGGATTTAATTTAGATTATTGCAAAAATTAAACCCATAAATTCATCAATATAATGCATGCCTTAATTCATGAAATTTTGAAATAAAAGTATTATTTCCTTTAACTTAATTTATAAAAGACTTTGTGACGGATTATAATGTGAAATTAAAACTTTAATTAACATGTGGAAAGGTAGTGCAAGCTCATTTGAAAGGAAAGAAACAAAAACATACAGCACCTGCTAGGATTTCAGTTAAAGATCCGACTCCCCAGTGAAACACGTTAAAAATTGGTCTCCTAAACATAGATAGAGGATTATATAAATATATTGTTAACTGATGTAATATCCATGATGTCAACTATCAGCTCTGTGGTTTATTTTAGAAAAGCTGCTCAAAGACTTAAGGATATTCATTTAGCATCTTTTGCATTAAAACCTGACTTACAGTGGTTTAATTTTTTACATGTTTTTCCTGTGTGTGTTTACCTCTTACAATCCGGCGGGGGTCTGAACACAGCGATGACTGGCTGAAGCACAGATAACACCACAACACTACAGCCGATATAAGGGTGGGCGCCTGCATGCTACACAGAGAGTTTGATTGAAACAGTCATGAAAAAAAGTTGCTGACCAACCCTGTTTTTTTGTGTTTTTTTTGTATCGTTCATTTTATTCATAGTGTAATAAAACATTAAAAAAAAGAATGTAAAGTAAAATGCTGCTCTAGTAAGTAAACAAACAACAAATATAGATATGTAATTAAAAAAAACGACTCCCCCCCTACCTCTCTGTGAGGGGTAAGTGGCTCTAATCCCCTACCAGAACCTTTTGAGCCTGAGGCTCTTCTCAGTATCTTAGCAATACAGTAGGTCTATATATGTTCAAAGGTAACCAATGGAGGGCATACCTTGGTATATATATTGCACACTCTATAAATGTAATGATCTTGGTTCTGTTGTTTTTCTCTAGGTTTTCTGTTTCAAGTTCAGCCAGGTTTTTCATTGTTTTCTAGCTTTATTGGTGCGTCTGGATTCATTTAAAGGAATAGTACACCGAAAACATGATTAGCTCACCCCCATGCTGAACAACACCCTGGAGTACTTTCTTGATATCTCAAATGCATCTGGAGATCTGGGAGGCTTCTTGCTGTCTGCTGACATTCAAATAATGGAGGTCTATGGCACCCGAGGCAGAAAGGTCCATAAAAGTCCACAAAAAACGTTTCAATATTCCTCCATACTGCTCGTCCAATGTATTCCAAGTGTCCTGAGTGGGTAGCGTCCATAATTTACTCGAAACAAAGTCATTTAGAATGTTTTTAGAGCATAAACAGTAGTGTATAGGATTTCCTAAAAGCGCGCACCTGCGAGTTCACGAGCCTACGGAAACCGCGGCAGACCAAACCAGATGAAAGTGCGCATTCAGCTTGGCAAAGAACTCATGCTCTTCCTCAACACTGAAGTCCTCAGACATATTTCTTTCGTTGTTTCTTTCTTTGCACAGGTAAACAGCACATTTCTTCTTCTACGCTTGCATTATCGGCAGAGCAGACGCTGAATGCGCACTTTCATCTGGTTTGGTCTGCCGTGGTTTCCGTAGAATCGTGAACGCGCTTTCAGGAAATCCTATACACTACTGTTTATGCTCTAAAAACATTCTAAATGACTTCGTTTCGAGTAAATTATGGATGCTACCCACTCAGGACACTTGGAATACATTGGACGAGCAGTATGGAGGAATATTGACACGTTTTTTGTGGACTTTTATGGACCTTTCTGCCTCGGGTGCCATAGACCTCCATTATTTGAATGTCAGCAGACAGCAAGAAGCCTCCCAGATCTCCAGATGCATTTGAGATATCAAAAAAGTACTCCAGAGTGTTGTTCAGCATGGGGGTGAGTAGAAAATGAAGGCTAATCATGTTTTGGGTGTACTATTCCTTTAAGTTGCCTAGGTTTTTCTGTCTGTCCTCTGTTGCCCCCTTGTGTTCTTTTCCCTTGGCTTCCTCATCAGCTCTAGACACACCTGCTCCTTATCAGCTCATTAGTCCTACCTTTGTCAATCAGCTATAAATACACTCCCTCTGCAGTCCCTCTTTGCTGGTTCCTCATCTTATTTCATCCTACCTTGGCTCCTCATGACTTTTCCCCCTGATGTTCCCATGGTCCTGGTTAGTGTTCAATTCTTATGTTGCATTTTTTTGGATTTCTGTTTTGATTTACATTTTTAAGTTGGATTTTTGGATTCCTGTTTTTGCTGCCTGATTTTTCATTAAACCTTCCAAGATCTCACCCCTGCCTCTCAGCTTCTGCTTTTGGTTCCAAACAAAAACCTTAAAACCAAACCGTGACAATAAATAATAAATCTAAAAAACTTTGTAAATCCATCTTTCCATTATCTGACACGCTTTATCCCAAGCGGGGTGGCGAGGGATGCTGGTGCCTATCTCCAGCTGTCTAGGGGCAGAGATGGGAAGTAACGAAGTACAAATACTTCGTTACTGTACTCAAGTAGATTTTTCTGATATTTTTACTTTACTTTACTACTTATTTTTATGGCGACTTTTTACTTCTACTCCTTACATTTTTACACAAATATCTGTACTTTCTACTCCTTACATTTTAAAAAATTGGCTCGTTACTTTAGTTTTGAATCATTTCAATGGAGTTACCGTTATTATTTTTCACGTCATCGATACCAAATTCAATCTAATTGGACGGGAATCTACGTTGCATTTGACGCACCACTACAAGATGAATCGACAGATTCGGCGGTATTCATTGGCGGCAAATCATTGCAGCTTGGTGGCGGTGGCGTTAGCATAGTAGCATGGACGACGAGATGATTGAAAATGAACACAACGGAGATCTAGTCCTATTGGCAGACATCCATTTAAAATGTAGGCAACGGCATGAAAAAAGTGGTTTCTAGTTTTACTTTTATACTTTAAGTAAATTTACAAGCCTGTACTTTGTTACTTTTACTTGAGTAAAGAAGTTTAATCAGTACTTCCACTTTTACCAGAGTATGTTTTAACAGAAGTATCTGTACTTTTACTCAAGTACGGAAAGTGAGTACTTTTGCCATCTCTGTCTAGGGGCGAGAGGTGTGTTCCACCCTGGACAGGTCGCCAGTCCATCACAGGGCAACACAGAGACAAACAGGACATACAACCATTGACACACACCTAAGGAGACTCTAGAGAAGCCAATTAACCAACCCAGTCTCATGGGAAAATGTACCCCCACTACGTTGGTCCACACTGCAAAACGTAGTGGAGGTACATTAATGGCCATTTTTTTGTGGTACTGTTACGTTTCTTCTGCCTATACGCTTTCTATTGTTTTACGTCCTAGTCACGTGACTTTAAAGATTCCAGCTGGGAGAAGAAAAAAAAATATATAGTTGGCTGACATTCGCTCATTTTTTGGTGGAAAGATTAATAACTTGAGTTTGTTTTTGCATTAAAATGAGTTTTGATTACATTTCTAGTGAGAAATGTATAGTTTGTTGCCAGAATATTTACTCAGGGAATGTACATATTCACTTGCTTGTTCGTTTCTTGCAAAGATTTTTCAAGATAATGTGAAACTGTAACGTTTTGGTATAAACATGGCTGAGATTTCTCTAACTTTTAGTGGGAAAATCAATAATTTCAATCAGTTTCTGCATTTAAATGGGTTTTGATTACATTTATAGCGAGAAGTGTAGGGTTTATTTACATAATATTTACTTAGTGAACATACATAATCACCCACTTGCTAGTTTTTGCTACGTTTTTCGGATCTCGTCAGGATTATGTGAAATTGCAACGTTTTGGCTGCTACCCATCGCCTAGCATTTAGCTGCCGCCCCGATTCAACATTGAATTCTTTGTGATTTAACTCCATCTGACGGATCAAACCCTCGCCACTGCGTGCGTTGCGTCTGAGGTTGATTTTCAGATCAATGCATTACGTCGTGGCATACGGGAGAAACTAATTAAACTATGGAGAAAGGGAGAAGGATGGATGGATGGATGGATGGATGGATGGATGGATGGATGGATGGATGGATGGATGGATGGATGGATACTCTGCCTTTTCAACCTACTGTATTTTTTATTTTAAACATTATTTGATGGCCTTTGTGGCAGGGATGGAGATCCATATTTTATGTCAGACACAGAGTATACATCTAGATAGATAGATGGATAGATAGATGTTTCAGTATCTATAACAACCCAAACACACAGGATTTCAGAATTAGACATCCCCAGTTATTAATTTCATATACTCACCGGATCTGAATGTCCTGTTATAAAACTTCCCATGGCGTTCCCGCCTGATGTCATTTACGTTGAGTTGCAATAAATGCTAAACTCTCTGCAGGTTCTTGTCTTTGTCGTCCGCTCTATTCAGCTGGCTTTGGAACACACGGCGAGAAGGTGGGGGCCGGGTGGTGAGGGTTACGGGGGCGAGAAACGCAAAAGTAACGCAATAGTTACTTTTACTAGTAACTAGTTACTTTTATTGTGGAGTAACTCAGTTAGTAACTCAGTTACTTTTTGGGAGAAGTAACTAGTAACTATAACTAATTACTTTTTCAAAGTAACGTGCCCAACACTGCTCACAAGACTAACTGTTGGTCCCTCCATGTTTGTTGTTTTTGAGCGCGGGTGAAAAACTCAGAGCGGAAGCACTGTTGGATTTTGGGTCGTGTAGTTTTTTTGACCCGCATTATAGTGTAGGCTTCAAGGAAAAAAAGCTACAAAATGGCGGTGCCAGTACTGGATTTTTTTTCTTTCTATTTTATTTTATTTTTTGGCATCGATCCTAGTTTTTTTTAGTTACTATTGGTTTGCTCCCGTTCCCGTCTGCTCCCGTTAATGTTTAATCCTGTACCGTACCAATCACGTGATCGTTACTAATACTGACTCCCATCCCACGGGAATCCCACAGGAATCCCGTGACCCGTTAGCCTCGTGACACCATCCTGATCTCGCGAGCTTTCAAGATTTCACTCGCTAATCAGTCTGGAGACTCTGCGTTGAAGAAAATTTGGAGCCGTTCACCAAACGAACGTCCAATCAGCGTTGGCTTTGAGGCGGGTTGAGGTGTGACGCAACGAGAAGCGCGACAGTTCAGTCTAAAGAACATGGTGGCTTCAGCCGATGAAACTAGCGTTAGCGTGGCTATCGAGCAAGTTTTATCAGAATTACAGAGTATTTCTTCACTGAAAGAAGAGCAAAACACTGCTCTGGAGGCTTTTCTCAGAGGAAAATATGTTTTTGCTCTTCTCCCGACTGGTTTCGGCAAGAGTTTGACCTATTAATTGGCTCCTCTTCGTCGTCGCTCTGTTACGTCATATGCTTCGTTGATCTGATTGGTTTATTTGGCCCGTCTATCACCAACATAGGCCAATCAGCTAACCAGTATTTTCACCCCTTCCCAAAATTACTTCTACGGAAGGTTTCCAGGTGGATATGCAGAGCAAATCCATCTGGCGGAGTCAGGTTAGTGACCCGTGAGATTTCCGAAAAAATTTCAGTCTTTAATAGAAAGGGTTGAAAATGACCTCAAATCAGCTGAAGTCAGTGTCAAAATGTGGTACTCACTACATGGAGCAAGAGAAGAATGAGTTTGTGTGGCTGGGTACCTTACCTTGCTCCATCCTCTCCTGTAGAAAAATGGGAAGGAGAAGGCTATAGCTGTGAGAATGACTGTTAGCATCATCAGCCCTCGATGAACCTGGACAGAGACACTCAGTAATATTGCTACTCTTTCTTGTAAGCTTCTTTGAATTCGAGGGTTATGTGTCCATGTAAGCATGCATAAAGATCCACCTGAAACCAGACTTTCTGACCTAACAGGGTCTGATTCGCCCACTGGTGTTTGTAGAAACTGGCGATAAAAGTACCAACACTTCCTGTTAGCATCCAGGCAAACAGCATGAGAGCACCTAAGGAAGCAAATACAGTTCAGCCAGGATTGTACTCTATCATGACAGCCTTCCTGTCCGCCATCTGATCAGCTTGTAGAAACAAGGAGCTCATCCTTGAAATGATGATTATAGTCTCATAGCTGATGTTTGAAGACAGGTAACCAAGCATACCATGCATTTTCAAAATTAGTGGCCCCCGGGAACCATGAAGAACTTCAGCGGAACCATTAATAAGTTTTCTCTGAGAGGAGACTAATGGTTGCTGTTTGTGCTTCCCAAAATCTGTAGGAAAAAAACAACAATAATACACATTATAGCAGGATACTTAAAAATCATATATTATAAAACGTAAATTTTGTGACAGATATTGCTGCACTAACACCCCCAACAGACAAAATATGTTTTTGACCTGTGAATTAGTAAAACTGGGAAAATAATCAGCAATAAATAGTACATTCCAAACAAATCCTTACCATATTAACGTTTTAACCACTGATATGGTTTTTATAAATAAATCAGGTGTAGTGGTTTTAAGTAATTTCCTCAGGGCTTTTTAACGTATCTTGTAAGGTGATCCAATTGTTTTATTGGTCTTGTTCAGTTCTAGTAGTTGTTTGATTGAACATTTAATGTATTAGGATTGTGTAGGGCTTTGCTGGGTACGTTTGAATTTTATGTCAATTCATATTGGTATCGGTGGTAGTTCCAAATGTCTGGTTTTTGGTGCAATATCTACATCGGTGTATAGAGGCTCATTTCCAGCAACTATCACTGCAGTGTTCTAATGGTACAATGTGTTTGCTCATTGGCTCAGAAGGCTAATTGATGATTAGAAAACCCTTGTGCAATCATGTTCACACAACTGAAAACAGTTTAGCTCGTTACAGAAATTACAAAACTGACCTTCCTTTGAGCAGATTGAGTTTCTGGAGCATCACATTTGTGGGGTCAATTAAACGCTCAAAATGGCCAGAAAAAAAGCACTTTCATCTGAAACTCGACATTCTATTTTTGTTCTTAGAAATGAAGGCTATTCCATGCGAGAAATTGCTAAGAAATTGAAGATTTCCTACAACGGTGTGTACTACTCCCTTCAGAGGACAGTACAAACAGGCTACTGCGGGTACTATTTAATGAAGATGCCAGTCTGGTGTCTGTTTCTCAAACTAGAGACTCTAATGTACTTATCTTCTTGCTCAGTTGTGCAACGTGGCCTCCCACTTCTTTTTCTACTCTGGTTAGAGCCTGTTTGTGCTGTCCTCTGAAGGGAGTAGTACACACCGTTGTAGGAAATCTTCAGTTTCTTAGCAATTTCTCGCATGGAATAGCCTTCATTTCTAAGAACAAGAACAGATTGTCGAGTTTCAGATGAAAGTTCTCTTTTTCTGGCCATTTTGAGCGTTTAATTGACCCCACAAATGTGATGCTTCAGAAACTCAATCTGCTCAAAGGAAGGTCAGTTTTGTAGCTTCTGTAACGAGCTAAACTGTTTTCAGATGTGTGAACATGATTGCACAAGGGTTTTCTAATCATCAATTAGCCTTCTGAGCCAATGATCAAACACATTGTACCATTAGAACACCGGAGTGATAGTTGCTGGAAATGGGCCTCTATACATCTATGTAGATATTGCTCTAAAAACCAGACATTTGCAGCTAGAATAGTCATTTACCACATTAGCCATGTATAGAGTGTATTTCTTTAAAGTTAAGACTAGTTTAAAGTCATCTTCATTGAGAACTACAGTGCTTTTCCTTAAAAAATAAGGACATTTCAATGTGACCCCCAACTTTTGAACGGTAGAGTAGATGAGAAAAAATCTCCCATGTGCCTGCATGAGAAACGATTCCTGCGAACTTCCATAGTTCCACATTAAACAAGGTTATATATATATTTTGTTTCTTACCATGTCCACTGGCCAAGAAGAGATAATAATGCTGGTCCAGATCATAGCGGGCTGGTTCTTCATGGCTAAGTCTCACTGCTCGACTAAATCTACACTGAATTAGTCCATCTGCCAGTCTCCATGACACAGAGGAGAGTCCACGCTGCAAGCAAACAATGGATGGCAAGAGGTGAAAACTTTCTCACCTTCATGATAATGTTTTTATCTTGTTATATTAACGGTTTATTTGCCCTAACTTTTATACCTCTGTGACACTATTACATATTTATTTATTATGTTATTTTATTTATCATGGTCCATCAGCGCCTATCTTTCTTTCTAGGGTTAGGGTTATGTTCCTTGTAGAAAGCTCTGACGCTTTCTACAAGGAACATAAGTGTTGTGATTCCAGTCATTTATTGTTCAGGTGAACACCTTGGCACGTCTAGGAGTCCACAATGTCAATACAAGTTCCCTGTAGTGGGTGGTTCTGCTGGCACCAGTCCAAAAGTTCCTAAAAAGCTATTGTGACATCCAAGAAAGGAGCCCCATTTGAATACTTCTGACTATGGCAATGCAATGGGCTGATGGATTAGTCTGCAGAATAGAGTGTAAACAAGAACAGCTCCCTGTGGGGCTATGCACTTGAGACCCAACTGCCGGAAACACAGCTAGTGACCATTGGGGATGTCCACTGGGACAGGTGGTGGTTCACTCTCAGCTCGAGCTTGTCCCTCAGAAGGCTACACTGGAGGGTTTCCAAAGCACTGGAGAAACGAAAGCACATAATCCTCAAACTGCTTCTAAACTCCCCTTTTGGGAGTTAACACTTTCCAGTATCTGCTTGCTGAAGGTGGTGGCTATCAGTCAGGGCTTGGTTAGCTCCTCTAATGCCTGAGAGGTAATAGGTAGGGTCAGTTTTCTCACTAATTTTATATACAAAATGATGCTGCTATGCTGCAATAAAGAGGAGTCTAAAGCCCCTGTCACACCTTGCCGATTTAGACCAGCATATGCCTGACGTACAAAAAATCGGGCAAAAACGCCGTCATACGTTGGATAAGTTATGGGTAAGTTTTGTATACGTTATGAGCACTCTGAAATACGCTGGAACACGCTGAAACACGTCGACATACGGCGAGTAAATCGAGAAATTTTAAGCATGCTCAAGATTTTCCGACGTATTCCTGCATATGCCATAAGTTAGAGGTAAGTCATTTAATCGTTGACCTATGTTAAGTGTAACTCATACTGACTTACTCTTACTGTTACTACTAAGTCGTGGCGTCTAGCTTATCCAAAACCTATGAGTATCTTGTGTATAACTTATGCGTAACTTATCAAGAACTTCTCTCCAACGCATATCAACGTATTTGACGTGTTCCAGACGAGCGCTGAACGCGTTTCTAACTTCCAGCTACTGTATAATGGCGTATTGGCAGCGTTTTGGTATAAAGGAGGTTCATAAGAGGAAACCGTCAGTTCTCCTATAGACTTCATCCCCATCATAGGGTGAGCCAGAAGGTGAGTGTGATGGATCCTCCCTGCGTTCACGTAGCCTCGTGAGACCATCCTGATCTCGCAAGCTTTCAAGGTTTCACTCGCTGATCAGTCTGGAGACTCTCCATTAAAGAAAATTTGGAGCCGTTCACCAAACGAACGTCCAATCAGCATTGGCTTTGAGGCGGGTTGAGGTGTGACGCAACGAGAAGCGCGACAGTTCAGTCTAAAGAACATGGCGGCCGATGAAACTAGCGTTAGCGTGGCTATCGAGCAAGTTTTATTGTAATTACAGAGTATTTCTTCACTGAAAGAAGAGCAAAACACTGCTCTGGAGGCTTTTCTCAGAGGAAAAGATGTTTTTGCTCTTCTCCCGACTGGTTTCAGCAAGAGTAGCCTGGCTGTTAGTACGTCATATGCTTCGTTGATCTGATTGGTTTATTTGGCCCGTCTATCACCAACATAGGCCAATCAGCTAACCAGTATTTTTGCCCCTTCCCAAAATTACTGCAACGGAAGGTTTCCAGATGGATATGCGGAGCAAATCCATCTGGTGGAGTCAGGTTAGGGCCCTGAGTCTCATTATAAAGGGCAACAAAAGAAAGATGTATGTTTTTGTTACTGTATGACTGCATATAGCAAAGCTACCAAACCTGATACACATTTAGAAAAATAACCTCTCAGTTTGAACGTTTTTGCCAAAATGATAAATAAAGCTCTTTCCTTTCTTTTTCCTATACTGTAACTGACAGAGAGAAAACCAAGCCTTTAAAGTTTTGTGTAATGCACGATAAACAGTATCCATCTTTATAGTAACCTTTGCAATTTTTTGAGCATTTAAAACTACTTCCCTGTTTATTCTTAGGCCCCGTCCACACGAAGTCAAAACGAACACGAAACGCTAATATTTTCCAGAACGTTTGTCGTAAAGACGGAGACGTAAAATAAATGTGATCGTCCACACGAATGCATGAAAACACTGCAAAATGTATGCCAGGCCTGTAAGTGGCGCTGTGGTGCCAAAGCAAAAATAGGCGACGAAATGTTGGGCATGCGCACTAATATTTATACATGGTTGCCCGGCGGGTCAATTTTCGTGGTTCAGTCAAATTCAGGTGCTGAACTATGTTGTCTATATTGCTCTGTTCTTCCTGGAGATATTCCAGAAGAAGAAGATTCTGTTGTAAGCCCGACAGCAGGGTGAGTAGCATGAGCAGCAACAATTCAACACAGTACGGCGCCATTGTTGTTGTGATACTGTGTCGCGCATGCGTGTTTAGAGGCGACGCTATGACGCATGCGTGTAAGAAAAAAAATGGGGTTAGAGCTTAAAGATGGAAACGCGAAAACAGCGTTTCAAAATCTTCCCACTCTGACGGCTGAATAAAAAAAAAGATCGTTTACACCCCCCCGAAACGCCGGCTTCGTATGGATGAGAGGCTGGTTTGGTGAAAAATGTGTGCATTTAGGCCAGGGTTTGACTTCGTGTGGAAGGGGCCTTAGTAACATGGTTCTCACGTGATTTCTAGATATATTTATGCTTGAGGAAACACATCGCTGTTACTGAAAATAGACGTATTTAAAATTCTCACCTGTGTTTGTCCTTCAGGATATGTTCGCCCACTAACAAAGGCAGCACTGACAGACACACTGTCCCCATCAGTCACACACATGTAGACGTCATCGTTGCCCTTAAAACAAAAATTTGACTTTAGTACTTAAGACACAGGGCTTTTGAAATGTTGATGGGATACATTTTGCCTGAGATTTACCATCCATTTGTCCAAGGATAGAGCAAAAGCAATGTATCCCTCTGCTGGGCCACTCAGCTCGAATGTCATCACCTGTAGAGGAAAAGCTTTTTTAAACTTTCTACTCCTTTTTAATTTGTAAGTTTGAAATATGGGTAGAAGAATAAAACTATTTTTGTCCTTGGATTAACTAAAAAAACACAAACATCGACATCAGGAGCCCTTATATGGTTCCAAGGAGAGAGATGATTTAGTTTTGGTCACACTTTCAGGGTAGGATCTTTAACAATGGATCAGGGTTCGGTCAATCCTACAAATGCTTTTTCCAAATGGATTCAACCAGTTAAATTTGGCTTGACATATTTCCATTTAGATTTTTTCCTAAATCCTTGGGTGGATTCACCTAACCTGACTCCGCCAGATGGATTTGCTCCGAATATCCATCTGGAAACCTTCCGTTGAAGTAATTTTGGGAAGGGGCGAAAATACTGGTTAGCTGATTGGCCTATGTTGGTGATAGTCAAATAAACCAATCAGATCAACGAAGCATATGACGTACTAACAGAGCGACGACGAAGAGGAGCCAATTGATAGATCAAACTCTTGCCGAAACCAGTTGGGAAAAGAGCAAAAACATCTTTTTCTCTGAGAAGAGCCTCCAGAGCAGTGTTTTGCTCTTCTTTCAGTGAAGAAATACTCTGTAATTCCGATAAAACTTGTTCCATAGCCACGCTAACGCTAGTTTCATCGGCTGAAGCCGCCATCTTCTTTAGACTGAACTGTCGCGCTTCTCGTTGCGTCACACCTCAACCCGCCTCAAAGCCAACGCTGATTGGACGTTCGTTTGGTGAACGGCTCCAAATTTTCTTTAACGGAGAGTCTCCACACTGATCTGCGAATGAAACCTTGAAAGATCGCGAGATCAGGATGGTCTCACGAGGCTAGGATTCACCTGGGCCTGTTTCACAATGCAGGTTAAACAAACTGAGACTATAATCCTGAACTCTAAATTCATATAGTCAGGTCAGCAAGGAATAACGAATCCGGTAATATTCAGAATTTAAACTTCTGAAAGTACTTTAAATATAAAATGATTCCATACTGTTCAATAAATAATTGCTTTTATTTAAGAGTGATTTTCATGTGAATGTGCTTTACTGGAGGCATCCATGTTTGTCAAAGAACACTACTGCCACCTACTGGTTTGTGACGTCACAGTACGGTATCGGCTGTTGATCAAGTCCCAGTGCTGTATCTGGTGTTTGTCACAACGCGCTATTATCCAAGTCATCTTGAAAACATTCTTCTTCCAAATGTTGGCTACATATTACGTGTTTTTTCTCTGGCCAGAAGCTCTTTTTTTCACTTTTACCCGATGTATTCCAGCATCCAGCTGCCATGCACGTGGGCATTGTCAGTTTCACTATAGCTCTGGTGAATTTCAATGGTGAAGTCCTCTGGAAATCTTAAATAATTGTTGTTGTAGGCTTACAGCACTTACGGCAGTGAGGTGTTACTATATTTGGGCAATTTGTCAGTGATCAAGACAAAAATTACTGTTCAATTATTGCTCATATAATTGCGCCTTTCCAAGCAAATGTTAGAGTTACAATAAAAAAGAAACCTTCTTAGCTTGCATGATAAAGAACAGGCTCGGACTGGTAATCTGTGATACCGGGCATCATAGATTAGGACCGGTGAAAAGGTCCTAATTTCAGCGTGCGAGGGCCGGCCCACCTTGAATCATACCGAGCCCAACACTGACCCCCGGCTCACACCGACTCCGGTCTTACCGTTGCGGTGCGGTGGGTGCGGCGCCGCAGTGATTCCAAGTCATTAAAAAGACGTAAACCTCTCTCACCGGCTGCTGAGCTGTCCGGCTGCGGTTACCGAGACACTCCGGCGCTGCAGAAAATTCCGCAAGAAAGCTATCCTTGCGGCGTGCCGGAGCCCTCCGCAACAAGCTCTCGCAAATATCCTTATTTGGGCAGTGTTATCGCGTGAAGTTACGTGAACTCAAGTGAACTTCTGTTAAATCTCCGGAGCTGTTGCCGGGGCCGCAGAGCCGCACCGCACCGTAGTCAAAAGGGCGGTGTGAGAGGGGGTGTGCGGGAGTTGCGGTCTCCGTCGGCTCGGTAACCGCACCGGAGCCAGTGTGAGCAAGGGGTTACTCTCCGGCCGAAGCTCCTACCTGTGAGAGTAAATAAGTCAAGGAGCATATATAGCCCTTCCTTGTCATGCACATCCTTGTGACGGTTGACATATGGTGTAATTTTCTTATTCTTCAAACTGTAAAATCCTTGCAACAAATTCAATTATAATAAAGCTAAAATGCTTTCTTTTAACCAAACTATGATGTTCCTCATATATTCCTCTATAAACTGCCAGATTTGCGACGTTTCCCAATCTGGCAGTTTAAGATGGCCGTCTATGGGTAAAAAATTTTCTTATTTAGATTCTTGGCCTAAGAGATCAATAGACTTTGGTTCAAATTGGAGACGTATGCGTTTGACTGTGCTTCTACTGTTTTTTTCGGTGGGGGGTGATATAGCAATAAGTTTGAATTGTTTCAATATACATATCAAACCTGTTTCTCTGAATCTTCTTTAAACATGGATAAGAAAAAGCAGTGGAGATCTTCCCCTGGATTGCATCCTGGGGGGTCTACAAGGCAAGATTTCAGAACCCCGCAGCCCTCAGAAGTAATCTAAACGTGTGAGAGAACACAACTGTTAGCATAAAACGTCGTCAGAGTCAGTATATGTAATTCTGAGTCACTCACAGGCCCAGGGAGGGTGGAAGGGGTGCTTGCTGGAATAACATTAGGGGTTGTGCTCAAAAGAGGAGGGAGGGGGGTGACACCAGGCTGGTAGATGATCGGTCCAGGTATCTTCAACCAATACTTACTATAGTGTGCAACCACAGTCACGCTGCAAATACATGGGAATACAGAATATAAACATATTTAAAGAAATATATTTTCATTTTATTCCCTAAAGAAGAGAGATATTTCAGTAGGTCTTTAGTGAGCGGAGGGGAAACCAGTTCAATCTGAACCTGTTCTCTATCCCAGAGCTGCAGACCTCATAAAGCGTCCAACTTGAAATCTATATTGTTAACGCATTCAATGGTGCTGCTGTTGGAGGGACTAAAGCATACTAAAGCCAGGCATACACTGTTCGATATTTTCAATCGTTGCACGCAGCTACAACTCAAACTGTACGACTAAACCACAGGGTTTTTAAAGGTCACAGGTCACGATGCATGTTCTTACACTGTGCGACCCAACGCTCTGATGCGATCTACCTACTTACACTGTACATCTAAGAACAAGAGGTCGGACTGAGCGAAGAGAGATGGCGCTGGTCGGACTCATCAATCTGGAAGAAGAACCCCCTTGTTTGTGCATGTGCAGTGCTCGAGGTTCTGGTAAATTAGCTCGTTGCTCTTCTTCAACAGCAGGATTTGTCCATGAACACCTTAGCACTTAGGGATAGACTTTTGTTTTAGTTTTCACGAAACCAGTGGCAGATTAGCACTGACTACGCTCCTGGCTGGTGCGTTTCAATTTCAGAGGCTGCATCCAGGTAGATCACATTAGAGTGTCGGGTCAGTCACACAGTGTGAGAACAAACATTGTGAGCTGTGAACTCACACTGTACGATGAAACCCTGTGGTTTCTTCGTACAGTATGAGCTGTAGCTGCGTGCAACGATTAAAACATTCCTACAGCGTATGCCCGGCTTTAGAGGGAATTTGTTTTTTCCTATTACTTTTGCTCTACTATCAGATAAAAAAAAAAAAGATTAATTAGAATCGTTTTCCCCTGCCAGAATTCATAGTTGTTGTTGTTTAAGCTTTTTCCTAAACTTGGATCAAGTTATTCCATAATATGGATCAGCTCAAAGGAAGAAACATAAACTCACAAAAACTGAACTGTGTCTGGAGCGTCATGAGGAGCGTTCCAGATCACCACCACCTTGCTCTGTTTGTGGTCACTTGTGTGGCTCACAGCTGAATCCTGCAAACAGTTTGAAGTGTTTGTTACTTGATGGAGACTCGTTTTACACTAGAGCCTCCTTCTGCCATGTGTTTGCTCATACCTGGTGCATAGAGCAGGTGAGCAGCTGCGTTCTGATAGGATTAGTTAACATGAAGGTGCCGATCGTTGATACGGAGGCCTGATTGGTTGGATCCCGGGCCTGTAACAGGAAGCCTTCAAAGGACTTTGAACCTGTGAGGATGACTGAAAAAAAAGAAAGTTATAACATTTTAAAACTGCATCAATGATACTACCAAAAAAATATATCAAATGTCAAATGTTTAAATGATAAAAAAATTTATATTTACCATATTAGCTACACTAGTTTTCTTTTATAAAGCAAGAACCTGAAGATCAGGACTGGTTGTAAACTAAAACCTTTTGAATCCCCTCTGAATATTTAGCAAATGTTTAGTTACCCTGGATCTTGTCTCCTGGACTGAAGCTGGTGACGTTGGTTTTCAGCTGGTAGGGGCTGGTAGTCGTCTGAGCTGGGACACCATGATGAGGTTCCATAGTACTGCAGGCTTTAGTGACCTTACCATTAGCGTAGCCAGCTGCCGGCACCAAATGACCTCCAAAGAAGGAGAGGATGAAGAAAAAACTCAAAGTCCCACGAGCCATCTGTGGGTAAAAATGTATCCCTTTAATATTCTCTGTCCCCAAGAAAAAACATCCTTAAACATGGGCTCATGTTTTAGCTTTCAAAAACCTAAAATGCAGCAATTGAGTCGATCCCTTCCCGCTATCATCTCCACCCGATCACTTTACAGGGGACCAGAAGACCTTGTCTGTTCAGCCAGGCCAACAATTCCCTTTACGACCCCCCGTTCTCCTTGAAAATGGCTATTATTGTCAGGTTTCTGTTTCTGTTATGTTTTTCTTTTGAGTATTCAGTCTTACTTTACTCCTTGTTTTCTAGTGTTTAGTTTTCTTTTCTCCATGTTTTATAGTCCTAGTTATTTCATTATCATTTTGTTGTTATTTCCAGTCTTCCAGGTTTCTATTTGTTGCCCTCTGCTGCCCTCTTGTGTTCTCCTTCTTCCCTAGCTCCTTCCCTCTCTTGTTCTTTGCACACCTGCTCCCAGTTTCCTCATTAGCCCCCTCTTTGTCTCAGTCTCCTTTAAAAAGCCCTCTCTCTTCAGTTCCCCTTTGCTGGGTCCTCGTCAAACACCGTCAAACATGCTCCAACTCCTTCTCTCTGTGCCTTCTTCCTTATGATTGTTATTCCCCTGATGTCTCCATGGTTTCTGGTACGTTTAGACTAGTTTTCATGTTTTGATTTTTGTTTTTTTTGGACTCTCGGTTTCTTGTTTGTTTGGACTTTGTTTTCTTTTTGGATTTTTGGATAACCTGCCTCTGTCTTCTGCTAACTCATTATTAAATCCACAAGAGATTCACCTCTGCCTCCCTGCCTCTGCTTTTGGGTCAACTAACCTTAGCCAAATTGTGACAATTATGCAACAAGTATTGTCGATGTTCCCTCTTCTAAATCGGACTTGCTCATTATTTCACTATATATTTTTTTCTGGGCCCATCTCTCATTGTTGTGTTGGGGTCATGTTTTCCCATCGATCCCTCCTGAAGAGGCCAACAAAGGTACCAGTGTTTGTCCAGAGTTTCAAATCATTGTTCAACTCTGCAGTAATTTGTTTCTCAACACGCAACACTCACCAACTTGGAAAGACCTGCTTTCCAAGATACTTACAGTGGAGGTGCTTTTAAAGAGATTCCTTCATTCAAATTTCTTACCTTTAACTATTGTTTAAAGGCCAAATTTCTGAACAACATGCAATAAAACTACGTGATTGCTATCACATGAAACGACAATGGTGGTTTTTTTCTGACGTTGACATGCAAGTAACAAATGATGACATGCCGATAACAAACGGTCAGTTCAGGTGTTCAGGAATCAGGAAATTGTCAATCTACCTTAGATTTTAAAATAGAAACATTTTCTTTTTTTATAGTATTTTATTTAAAAATTCAATGTATAACATGGATGCATAAAAACCTCATTTTATTTCAGTGTTAAATTCAGTTTAAAGTAACAGATTATAATTAAAAATGTGTCCGGACCTTTACTGGTTGTTGATTTTCCTATTAGGACCCAGATGATTTTTAATTGGTTTCCCCTGATGTTAGCCTCGTGAAACCATCCTGATCTCGCGAGCTTTCAAGGTTTAACTCGCAGATCAGTCTGGAGACTATCCGTTAAAGAAAATTTGGAGCCGTTCACCAAACGAACGTCCAATCAGCGTTGGCTTTGAGGCGGGTTGAGGTGTGACGCAACGAGAAGCGCGACAGTTCAGTCTAAAGAACATGGCGGCTTCAGCCGATGAAACTAGCGTTAGCGTGGCTATCGAGGAGGTTTTATCGGAATTACAGAGTATTTCTTCGCTGAAAGAAGAGCAAAACACTGCTCTGGAGGCTTTTCTCAGAGGAAAAGATGTTTTTGCTCTTCTCCCGACTGGTTTCAGAAAGAGTTTGATCTATCAATTGGCTCCTCTTCGTCGTCGCTCTGTTAGTACGTCATATGCTTCGTTGATCCGATTGGTTTATTTGGCCCGTCTATCACCAACATAGGCCAATCAGCTAACCAGTATTTTTGCCCCTTCCCAAAATTACTTCAACGGAAGGTTTCCAGATGGATATGCAGAGCAAATCCATCTGGCGGAGTCAGGTTACCCTGATGTAAGATGTTCAAAGTCCCTAAACCTTTTAGATTAGTGAATTTACCTATAATTTGTCCATCAAACGTGGCAAAACATGACTGAGAGGCCAATGCTTTACCTTTAGCCTCAGGCTGACAAGCCTGGGTAAGAAATAGAAAGCCAAAGGGTCTGGGTACCCTTCGCCCAGGTTAGACTCAGAGCGCCTGTGGTCCTCAAACAGACACCACATATAAAACCTAGCCTGCAAAAGAAGGTAACATTACCACAGGAGGCTGCAGTCCATCAGGACCAGAACATTCCGTCACAAAAACAGTTTTTTCCCATCTGCTACCAGCCTTATCAACAAGGCCAAGAGCCGCCCGTGACACTGGACAATGTTTCTCTCCCCCATTCAGGATTTCTGCCTTACATTAACGCACAGTCTACTGTGTGTATATAGCTTCTGTGTATATATATATATATATATATATTCTATCTTATTTTGTTTTTTGTCTGCACCAACAATACCAAGTCTAATTCCTTGTAAGTGCAAACCTACTTGGCAATAAACTGGATTCTGATTCTGATACTTTTGGCTATATATCCAAAAGTGTTGTTATTATATTTCAACTTCTGCTTTTAGTTAGGGTTTTTTTTGGGACTCCACGAACATAGAAAACATGCACATTACTAGCTTTGTGGTGTCTGTTGTTTGTTATTTATTTAATTTAAAATATTGATAAATTGCCAGTATTCTACAACATATAGCTGTTATGGTTCTCCCCATTTGGGACTCTGAGTTTTTATTTTTCTGTTATCAGTTGTTCTGTTTTGTTCTGTGGTTTATTTTCTATTATATTCAAACAGTCTTTAGTTACTCTCTGCTGCCCCCTTGTGCTCGTTTCCTTTCCCCTTTGCTTCCTTCTAGTTAGTTCCATTCACACCTGCTCCTTATTCAGCTCGTTAGTCCATTCTTTGCTCTGTTTAGGGTGACCACCCGTCCCACGTAGCGCGTGTGCGCACAGCGTTTGAAGCCCAATTCATTCGTCCCGCAAATTGAGACCGTGTCACGCATAATCAATGCAAGAAATATGAAAAAGCTTATGGTCGTCAAGTTGTGCTTACTCTCATATGACAGCAGATGGCAGTGAAAGCCCAAATTCATGAGATAAAGGTTTGGAGTAAATTTTTAAACATCTTTCTACCACTTTTTTTTTTATTTGAATCATCAGTGGCCGGTCTAAACATTTTCCAAGAATGCAGCCAGAACGCGCGGTGACGTAAAAAAAGCACGCTCGCGTAAAATACTAGTTGGAACTGCGCATTATTGTAATTTTACACTTATGTAGTGAAAGAGAAGGTTCTCCTCAATGCTGCACGCTCCAACAAGAAATACAACTTCAAGAAGAAACCTGAAGGTAAGAAACCTAGATATGTAAGACTCCATTTGTCTAAGATGGGGTGCAAATGTGTCACTTTTAGGAAACAGTAGCCTTTTAGGTCAAAATATGTCATTGTTTTGCATAGGATTGTATTTTGGCACCTTTTTGTATTGTTTTGTATTGTGATGGTGATGGGTTTGCACTCCTCTGTCTATACTGGAAAACCATTTGGAAGCTTATCATAAATTAATTCTGTCTCTTATCTTTCTTTCTTATTTTATTCAGATACTGGTGAAAAGGTTTGAGTCCTAAAGGTGACCCCAAAGTCCTAAAGGTGTCCCCAGAACACTGAACAGTTTTTTTTTTTTCCTGTTCCTGCTTTTACCAACATCCAAGTTCACCATCCTTCCTCCCCCTTCTCGTTCTGTGAACCTCTGGAGTCGTGAGTTAAGCCTTTTTTTTTTTTTTTTACAGTTCCTGTGGTGTAGAGCAACTACAATTCCTGTTAATCCTTTCATTTCAAATTATTATTTATTTAAAGTGAATAAATTGTAATAAAAAATAAATAAAATTGAATAGCTAAAGTAAATCGGAATTGGAAGTGCATCTGTTCATTGAATGTTCAAAGTATTATGAATCTTTATTTAGAAAGAAATACACATTGGTTGGCCTATTCATGAGCTTACATCAGCAATTACACATGTTTATGGGAATAGGGCATTATTAATATACCATGTAAGGTGGTATGTGCTAGAAATGTGTAAACCTCTATCAGTGAGTCTGCCCGTGAGGTGGGGTCACCGCTGCACCAAGCAGTGTCCCACTTTGTCCCCCAGAAACATACCCCTTGTCCCCCCTTGGGCTTATTAGCAGGTGGTCACCCTAGCTCTGTTCCCCTTAAATACTCCACCTCTGCAGTCACTCAGTGCTGGTTCCTTGTTGTTGTTTCCTCATCTCTGGCTCCCCACATTAGTTTTCCCCTGAAGTTTTTTGGTTCTTGGAATTTTTGTTCTTTGGATTTTTCCTCAAATTACTGATTAAATCTCCAAGATTCACCATTATCTCCTGATCTCTGTATTTGGGTCCTCAAACAACCTCACCACCCATTGTTGACAATAGCATTAGAAAGTTTTAATAAAAACAAAACAAAAACAAATCCACAACTGTGTCAACCTTAATGAAATTCAAAGAAGCATTCAGCAACTTTGTTTGTTTTTCAGGTCATAAATTCCGAGGTAGGAAAAAAAAATCCAGAGAATACATTTATTTTCAAAGTTTCCTGTTCCTGATGCTGCAATCAAGTCAATAACAACAGCTAATACAGTAAGAGATTTAAAGTTTAGCTAGAAATGCCCTAAAAGCATTTATTTATATGATTTAGACCATCTAAGAACATTAGCTGAGTTAAGGTAGTCACTGTACTCACCACTCAGAACAAGGAAGAACAGCCAACTTGTGTCTGACAGTTTAACAATCGCATAGTAAGCATGAATGCAATGCTGTGCTTGTAGTTTTACAAGCCTTTAGCAGTTATACAAATGGGTGGACTTTTGAAACATGCAGATAGGACTCTGCAGTTAGGGTGGGTCATTATCTAATCATATGTGCCTTTGAGGACATGTCTACACAGCTTTTCATTAGCTTGAAGAAGCTCGGAAGATGTATTTAGTAAACTGAATGGAAGTTTACAGCGTTTTACATCAGTTTAGGTGCACATCAGTATAGAAACAATAATGCTACACACCTTGGACTGCTGGAGGGCAGTCTAAGCCTATAGCAGGAAAAAAGGTCTAAGGCACCGTTTTTATCATTCTGCTTCTTTCTGTCTCTAATCTCCCACTCTGCAGAATTTGTTAGTTCAATCTCAAAGTTCAATCAACGTTATGCTCTCTCTTTTTCTCATCATAGTAGCTTCTAGCGGTCTGTTCTTCTTTGGCTGTGACTCCATCCTGGAGAAAAATATCAGCTGTGCTGCTGCCATCAGCGCCTTTGTTTGTGGATATTGGAGCTTGACCTGTTTTTCAGTGAAGACCTGTTTCTCTGACTGTGATTAAGTGGATGTGCTCTCTTCATCCTCTGACATGGGAGTTGGCTCGGAGCTCGTCTGCCTGGCTGTGTGTTTCCTGGACGGGGCCGCCTTTGGATACCTTTTGTGTCTCTGCTTCTGTCTCCTTGAACCCCAGTCAGCCTAAGCAGATGGCCGCTCACACTGAGTCTGGTTCTGCTGGAGGTTTCTTCCTGTTACAAGGGAGTTTTTCCTCTCCACCATCGCTACAAGCATGCTTGGTGTGAGGGATTGCCTTAGAGTCAGAAAACAAAGCGGATTGTGTATGATGTCATCACGCGTCGGCTGCCGTTTATTCATCCTGTCTACTGAACTGCTGCTAGTTTTCCTCTCATGCCTGGAAGATGTCTAGTGCTGCTACCACAGATGATCTCGCTCTCGAAAGGGAATTGAACGATTGAGATTAGCTAGAATGAATAGAAAGGGTAGAGCGTAGCCGCCTGTGGCTCAGGCTGCCTGTCAAAACTCAAGTCCGGCGCGCAAATGACGTCATACACACTCTGCTTAATTTAAAAAATATATATATAAATATAAAAAATATAACGGCGGATGTCTGGGAGACAGTGATTCGCCTACATGTTATGAATGCTGGCGTACCATAAATGATAAATTATGAACAGTTTAGTTTGTGCCTTCAAGTCGTTGCCCATTGGAAGACGTTGCTAGGATATAACCTAACGGAATATCTTCAGAACGGCTCCAAATGACACAAAACTCATATGGGTGAGAAGAACATGATGGAATAACGTAAGTTATTACATCATGTGTAATGGGAGTTTTTTGGGAACATGTTTTATATATACATAAAACTGTAACTGGAGCGTGTAACAAAAGTAATTTCCCTCTGGGATTATTAAAGTATTTCTGCTTCTGATTAACCATCCTTGACTTAAAAGCCATCTTTGTCTCTTAAAACAGAAAATAACATAATAAATCTTTTAAGTTTTTTTTTATTATTGTTTGTTTTGTTGATTCACTTTATATATCAGACATCTAATATATTTCGATGAAGCGGTCCAGCTTTGCCACCTTGCATAGACACTTTATGCCTCATTTGCTTTAACCCTTTAAAGCCCGATCCAAGAATAAAACAAAACAGAAAATTACTTTTTTTTGGTTTGAAGGCCTTTTAACAAAATATGTAAAAAGAAAAAACAGAAATACATTTTTGATATTAATAATTTATTACTACGTCATAAGTCAACATTATTTTTTGTGTAGTCTTCTACTGGCTGTTATCAGGTATATCTGATTGTGTACAATAGGATTTTGAGCAAAGTTTTTAAAATTAAATTATGCAAAAGGTGTCAGATGCAAAACATTTCAGAAACCGTATGTATCAAATATGATACATTTGGCATTATAGGGTTAAGACGGTTCACAGAAGCAAAAGGGAAAGTCTGCAACAACAGAGACCCTAACAAGGTAAAAAGGCAGAAAGAAAAACATTTGGTGACATAACAGTCACAATAACGATCATTTCTTGGCTGCTTGGACAGGAGCAGACCCCTACATGTATGTTCGGAGCTATTTAACATGTTTTACACTCATTGCTGCCTTACTTACACTGAGAATCTAAATATAGAAATAGCTGCAACAAAGAAAATGAGTGATAAATAATAAATGAAGCAAAGGAATAAAGCAAGCTACTGTACAGCACATATGGAATTACATTTGGGATTTAATGTGGATGAAGACTGCAGTGCTTGTCTTTTTCTGCTGAAGTAAGCTGCTTCCCTCATAACTGCCTCTTTGCTATAGATTCTGCTGTAGAGAATAACTGATTTGGGTGTTTTTTGGTAAGATGATAAGATAGCTGCTAACATGTTGGCAATCTAGGGGGCAATTACAAAACTCTTTGGGAAATAAATCCTTCAGATAAACTAGCAGCGGTTGCTATTTGCTGAAAAAGGCTATGTGTACAATGTTTTTGCTATAATTTTTTTTCTTAAATGGTTTTCAAAGTAACTCTGCTGTTTTTAACAGATTTTAGTTTTTCAAATTGTTTTCATTTTTTCTTACTTTATTTTTGAACTTTATTTTTTTTATACAAATTTTATTTCTATTTTATAGATTAAGTTTTAGAAATTGCATTCCTCTTGCATTGTACAGATCACCCCAAAAGTAAACAACTACAGTAGTGATCCTTAAATATGAAAAGAATGCAATCCGTAAAATTTGATCTAAAAAAAAAAAAATCTAATTTAAAGATGTAAAATCTATAAAAAATAAAAATAAAATAAATAATTGGATGAACAATTAAATTAGAAAAAAAATGAAATGTTAAAAATGTGGATAGCGTTTTTGTTAGGGTTCCAGTTTGTGTGGGTTGTTTTTCTGTGTTTTTCCTCTCCCCACCACCAGGTGGTGCCCTGTTCTCGTTGGGCCTCCCTGCACACCTGCGGCTCGTTGGGTCATTACCAGAGGAGTACTTAAGCTGCGGACTGTCACCACCTCGACCCTCGGCCCTCCTGATCCACTGGACAACTACTGTCAACCGTAACTAGTGGGTACTTTACGGCAGTTGCCGTAAAGATCGGCGTGACTAGTCAGGTAATGTGGCCAAGCTCCGATCACAGGAAAAAAGGAAAAAATCGGGCCGATCCGATCTTGAGATTGGGATCGGGGCATCCCTAGTTAAAACCTTATTTATTATTTTCCATTTACAAAATGTGTTGTTTTTTTCTATTTATAAAACAGGTTCTTTGCCTGCAACAATAATAAAAAAAATTCACCCCTTAGATCTCTCCCAGAATATTTATACTGCATTCACACCAAACACATTTTGAGCATCAAAAAGGCATCCAAAGCCTAAACTTAAGTGCTTGTTCACAGTAAAGTCAGACTTTGCATTAAGCCAAGGGTGTACAAATGGATCTAACTCTCGTCGATGGTATCTTTTTACAATCGCAGATGCAATAAAGACAGTTGCTTGGCTTAATTTGTTGCTATAAGTGGGGACAAAGTATTTTTAAGATATTTACTAAACAGATGCAGCGGCCGCTGCCAGAGAGTTCCAATTGGGCCTAAAAAAAAAGTTCTTATGTGAATTTGTTTGTGATATTCAGAAAATTAGATAAGCACCCCCCACCCCACCTTCAAAGATATTAAAATGTTTGGCTATATTTTAAAAGCAATCAATTGTCTCAAAGTTTCTTGCCTTAAAACTGAGAGCGAAAATAATCTAAAGCAATGAAGTCAACAAAACCTTTGTAGCCTCCATTGTTTTGATTTTAGTTTTGCGGTGAATGACACCAGGATGGGGCTGTAGTGGCGTCTGTAGCATCATCGCTGTGAATTAGGGTGGAAGTGATTGTTGGATAGATGAAAATGCAGAAATAATTAGCTTATTTCAGGTCATTGATTAAACATACCTTAGGGCATGTCCACACGCAGTAGTTGCAGTTGAAAGCAAAGAACTCTAACAACATTAATTTAAAAAAATATTAGTCCTGGGTGTTTGGCTCTTTATAGACCAGTAGTGCTTTACGCATATTAGGAAGTTGCTTTGGTGATAAAGTTCTACACATAGACAAACATTTGAAATAAATACATCTGGACATATATAATGTTGCATTAAAAAACACAAGTTGACCAGGAATGTTATGGGAATAGAGATAAATATTGCAACTTTTTCCAAAGGAACATCACCATGGTAGATGTTAAAAATAGAAATAACAACAATATTTACATGTCTGAGATAGCACTCTTTTTACCAGGAAATTAGTAATGGGACCAACTGTTCTTTGGAGTCATGTCATTCACAATCATTATAACATCCATCCATCTATCCATTTTCTGTCACGCTTATCCTAAGCGGGTCGTAAAGGCTGCTGGTCCCTATCTCCAGCTGTCTACAGGCGAGAGGCAGTCTCGGTCGCCAGTCTATCGCAGGGCTCATTATAACATTCAAATTATTAAAGGAATAGTACACCCAAAACATGATTAGCCTTCATTTTCTACACACCCCCATGCTGAACAACACTCTGGAGTACTTTTTTGATATCTCAAATGCATCTGGAGATCTGGGAGGCTTCTTGCTGTCTGCTGACATTCAAATAATAGAGGTCCATAGCGCCCGAGGCAGAAAGGTCCATAAAAGTCCACAAAAAACGTGTCAATATTCCTCCATACTGCTCGTCCAATGTATTCCAAGTGTCCTGAGTGGGAAGCGTCCATAATTTACTCGAAACAAAGTCATTTAGAATGTTTTTAGAGCATAAACAGTAGTGTATAGGATTTCCTAAAAGCGCGTTCACAAGTCTACGGAAACCGCGGCAGACCAAACCAGATGAAAGTGCGCATTCAGCTCGGCAAAGAACTCATGCTCTTCCTCAACACTGAAGTCCTCTTTCGTTGTTTCTTTCTTTGCACAGGTAAACAGCACATTTCTTCTTCTACACTTGCATTATCGGCAGAGCAGACGCTGAATGCGCACTTTCATCTGGTTTGGTCTGCCGCGGTTTCCGTAGACTCGTGAACGCGCTTTTAGGAAATCCTATACACTACTGTTTATGCTCTAAAAACATTCTAAATGACTTCGTTTCGAGTAAATTATAGATGCTACCCACTCAGGACACTTGGAATACATTGGACGAGCAGTATGGAGGAATATTGACACGTTTTTTGTGGACTTTTATGGACCTTTCTGCCTCGGGCGCCATAGACCTCCATTATTTGAATGTCAGCAGACAGCAAGAAGCCTCCCAGATCTCCAGATGCATTTGAGATATCAAAAAAGTACTCCAGAGTGTTGTTCAGCATGGGGGTGAGTAGAAAATGAAGGCTAATCATGTTTTGGGTGTACTATTCCTTTAATTCAAAAGAACGGTTGACTTAATCACTCGGTTCATGCAACTGCAGTTTTGGTTTTACAGTTAAATTGAGCTGCTTAGGTCACAAAAATGTGCAATGTACAAAGTTTTAACTGTATTTTCCGATCCTTTACATTTGCATTACGCAATAAGCATGGCTTTAGTAACACATAGACCTTTTAACTGATTAGCATCAGCATTTTCTTCCGTTTTATCCGGGGCCGGGACGGAGAGGCAGCAGTCTAAGCAGAGATGCCCAGACTTCCCGATCCACACACCTCCTCCAGCTACTCTGGGGGGACCCCGAAGCGACACAAGGCCAGCTCAGAGACATATTCCCTCCAGTGTGTCCCGGGCCTTCCACCTCAGCTGACTCCTTTCGACGTGGAGGAGCAGCGACTCTGAGCTCCTCCCAGGTAACTGAGCTTCTCACTCGATATCGAAGGGTGCGCCCAGCCACCCTGCAAAGGAAACTTATTTCATCCCGTTGTATTCGCCACCTGGTCCTTTCAGTCATTACCCAGAGGCGACCAGGAGGCATCTGGAACAGACGCCTGAGCCACCTCTGCTGGCTCCTTTCGACGTGGAGGAGCAATGACTCCGAGCTCCTCCCGGTTAACTGAGCTTCTCACTCGATATCGAAGGGTGCGCCCAGCCAGCCTGCAGAGGAAACTTATTTCATCCCGTTGTATTCGCCACCTGGTCCTTTCAGTCATTACCCAGAGGCAACCAGGAGGCATCTGGAACAGACGCCTGAGCCACCTCTGCTGGCTCCTTTCGACGTGGAGGAGCAATGACTCCGAGCTCCTTCCGGGTAACTGAGCTTCTCACTCGATCTCGAAGGGTGCGCCCAGCCAGCCTGCAGAGGGAACTTATTTCTGCCCGTTGCATTCGCTACCTGGTCCTTTCAGTCATTACCCAGATCTCATGATCATAGGTGAGGGTGGGAACGTAGATCCATTGGTATATCGAGAGCTTTGCCCCCCGATTCAGCTCCCTCTTCACCACGACAGTCCAATACAGTAACCGCATCACTGCCGATGCTGCACCGATCCGTCTATCGATCTCATGCTCCACGGTAAGTTGTCGGCAAACATAAAAGAAGTTGTTAAATCCTTTTTGGAAAAAAAATTCTGTTATATTCAGCTTCTTTGAAAGCCAGAATCAGGTTTGCAGTAGAAAATGTTTTTTATTTCAGATTCAACCCCTGTTTTACAGTCCTGCTAAATATTCAATCTCCTTGCACACATAAACAGTCTGTCTCTTAAAACTAACTACCACCTATTTGACAGCCCTAATCGTTTTCAAGACAAGAAGCAACAAAGGGAAGCGCAGAGGCCTAATTAAGCAGCCTTTCTCCAATTAAGGCACACACAGACAACCCCCTGTTGACCTATTAGCAGCCCAATAGACTGGACAATGCTTGTCTTCGCTTGCTGCTATGCGGGGGATGAAGCTCCGTTTGGATTAAGGAATGCTCTAAAAGATGCCAAGATCTGAAATAAAAGAAAGAACCGATCTATAGAGCTCAAACAATCGGACGTATTCGTGGAGTCGTTGGTAGGACTGACGCAGTCATGTGTCCACGCTCCCTCCTCCTCCAACAGTCCAGCCCAGTAAGCTGCACATTTACAAGCAGATTCATCACTTATCTCTTAAAGCTCTTATCCGGGGGTTGCTGTGCGTCTTCTCCTCCCCTTTATCTGCATTTGACCCTGGGCTTTTTTAGCGTGGCAAAGAGTGTGTGAAAGTCAGCTTGACCTCCCGGGTTAACCTCAAAACACAAATCACCACGCGCTTCACAAAGTGCTGAGACAGGGGAGGGGGGCGGCTTTTAAGAGATCTGCAGCTGGCCACGTCGCGATAACCTTTATTTTCATCAAACAATAAGCAGAAGGGGAGCGGGTTCTCTCATCATCTGTAAGCGGGAGAAGATGCGGCAGTGCGTGGGTGTCGAGAAACAAAGTTCAACACCTTTTTTCTGACTAGACTGTTGCTCATATTGGAGCATTCACATGCAACATTTCATTGCCTCCATCCACACCAGGAAAAGGTTTGTTTTTTTTTAGTTTGCTTTTTTTTCCCTGGCTGCAGGGTTTTGCAGTAATCGAGGGATGGTTGCGGTGATTTCTAAGGTCTTTGGGGTCACTCGTTCTGCATCTCTGATGAGAGATATCCTCTGCATTCTTCATCTGTGTGTGTTTTGTGCATGTATGCTGACCCAAACAGCCCACTCTCTTTTGCTCTTTGACTCTAATGGCCATATAAGGCAGCCAGCACCATGGTAACCACAGGGCTTGAATAGCAGTGTCAAATCCCTGGGAGCACACACACACACACACACACAAACACACAGAGCGCCCCCTCCCCCTCTACACACTCCTGCACCCTCCCTTTGCCTCTATTTGCTGGATCCCTCTCCAACACACACATAGGTTGGAGGGAAAAAAGGATGAGATGCAGAGAAATCTAAGCAGTGTTTCGCTTCTTGGGGCATTTCAAATTATAATCTGATTTGGGCACCAGAGAGAGAGGCAGAGGGGGGGAGAGGAGCACCCATTCCTTATCGTCACCCCCCCCCCCCTCCTGAGCCACAGGGAGGGAAAAAAGGCTTCATGCTGACACACACACACACACACACACACACACACACAGAGGAAAACAGTATACAAGGCCGCAAGTCATTAGTTCTTGGTGGGCAAGCACTGACAAAGGACTGAGGGAGAACCTGCATGGGTGGCTGACTGGAGATCATCCACAGGGATTAGAGCTGAGCAAAAAGCTCTCCTTTAATCTGATTTTTTTTTTTTTTTTCTGTGTGAGGAAGGATCCCGATCAGACCCGCACACAGCGGCCAGTGGATCGGCTGCACTTCCTCCCGTGTGCTGATCTGATTGTTTTGGATGCGAGGACAAGCCGCGGGCGGTCCGCGTCGCCTTCAACCGCCGCAGCAGCATCTGCAGCCGGCGAAGAAGAAGAGGACAGCAGCCAACGATTATACGAGCAGTGACATTTTTTTTTTCTTGTGTGTAATTTCTTCAGAATGCTGCTTGGGTCGCCGCAGAACAGGGGAGCCGTGCTCTCTGTCTCACTGGATTAAATAAAAACGGCTTTCTTTTAAGGCTTAAGACAAACTCTTTGTGTTGAGGTAAGGTTACAAATTTTGTGTTTGGTATTTTTTATTTATTTTTCTTGTTTGTGTGCGTGGTATGGGCTGCTGTAAGGGGGGCGGTCAAACTCTCCTCAGGCATGTGCTCAGGCGAGCCGCGCTGAGGTCCTTTTTCAGCCATTACTGCTCGGGTGACGAATGGACTCAGAACAGCAGCCGGACCGCCCTCAGCCTTTGAAGCAGCCTGTCTTTAAACACTCTTTCACTTAAACTCTGTTTCTCTTCTTAAAGGTTGTTGGTCTGCGGTGTTTCTTCCTTTTTACGGGACAACACGGACACACTGAACCGAGTGAGGGGAATTTTTGGCGTTGAAGTCCAAAGGAATGCTGAAGTAAAAGTTGCCCTTCTGACTCTATTTCCAGGTCATAGTGAAGTGGGCGGGGCCTATGTTTTTTTTTTTTTTTTTTTTACGCCTAAACGGCCCCATTTTTACTACTAAAACTGCTTTTTTTTGTCCCGAACACTTTCCACACTTCTAGTTGGGCTCGTGTTTGGCTTTATTTGGTCACTAAATGAAGATAAAAGGGAAGCTGAAGAGGTGTTAAACTCAAACGCACAGCACCGTCCGGACTCTGGGCTCTTTTATGACCGCATCCAGAACCCTCGGCTGCCTGGCCTCATTTTTCTTTTGCGCTGATTTGGTAACCAAGCGATGGCCATGGTGAGTGGGGGCTGGGGAGATCCCAACGGGGGCACCAACGGGCTCGGGGACAAGGGCTACCTGCGGGGGGATGAGGAAGACGGCTCCCCGCAAGCCGGGGGCAGCGACATGGAAGCCGGGGATGAGGACAAGGCCTGCGTGGTGGACTGCGTGGTGTGCGGGGACAAGTCCAGCGGGAAACACTACGGCGTGTTTACCTGCGAGGGCTGCAAGAGCTTCTTCAAGAGGAGCGTGAGGCGTAACCTCAGCTACACATGCAGGTGACGTGATGCATCATGGGAGTTGTATTGTTATTGACTCTGCTGTACTCAAAAGTCTGCTCTTTGGTATGTTCAGTTGAACTTTTTGGCAAAGTAAAGTAATATTTCTAATTTTAACGGAGCTTATTCATTAAACAAAACGCAATTCCTTATCCTGATTTAAAACAAAACTTAATAATTCAGATTTATGGAGTGGAATTTGTTCCATAATTGTATCAGTTCAGTTTATTTCTCTAGCGCCAATTCACAACACATGTCATCTCAAGGCTCTTTACAGTTCAACCAGATCATCCAGTCAAATTGATTCAAATTTTTCTGTCTAAGAAAAACCAGTTGATTGCATCGACTCATTGACTCCAATGCAATCCCTCACAATAAGCATGCCTGTAGTGACAGTGGGGAGGAATAACTCTCTTTTAACAGGAAGAAACCTCTAGCAGAACCAGGTTCAGAGTGAGCGGCCATCTGCTGAGGCCGACTGGGGTTCAAGGAGACAGAAGCAGATGTGTAAAAAGAAGCAGAGATACAAAAAAGCTACAGTAAAAGGCGTCCCTGCCCAGGAAACATGCAGCTAGGCTTATAATAAAACAAAAAAAAGGATACAATAATTACATGTTACACGGATCTCAATTTTAACAAAATATTAATGGGTATTACAAAATTTTAACATTGGATAGCAAATGTAAAGGATGGTATAGTATGAGATTAAGGTGAAATGAAGGCATGGCAGCTGAACTCTTTAATAAATCCCAGGTGGATGCACCTATCAGCTGAAGCCCTGTTAAAGTCATCCGGCCCATGTGTCAGATTATCTCTAATACGGTGGACCAAAATATGTCAAAATAATAAAATCAAATAAGTGGATTTAACATTTATTTATTTGTATAATATTGTAGATATACAATTAAATGATTAAAATGCACTATAGCATAATCCAATGTCCTGTTAAATAATCCAAAGCATATATCAAAAAATAAATTGCTAAATGTCATCAAAAATTTGCTTATTAAAAATAAGTTACATTCAGTCTTTATCAATTTAGAGTGAATTAACTATTAGATCTAAATCATTCATGATTAACTGGTTATTGGAGTATATATATTATATATTAATGAACTAATCATTAACAAGTATAGAGATTCTATCATGATATTGGCTATAAGCTGACCTACTGAGAGCAATAATAATGAAAAAGGCGTGAAAAAAACCCCCCAAAAACAACTTTGTTTTGTATTTAAAAAAAAAAATTAGATTAGATTCAACTTTATTGTCATTACACAGGTACAGGTACCAGGCAACGAAATGCAGTTTAGGTCTAACCAGAAGTGCAAAAGCAGCAGTGCAGGATAACTAATGGTTCCATAATTACAGGACATGGATCTTTCTACTGAATGAGTATAGAGATGAATACTATTATAAATAATGAATATAATATATATATCACTAGTGTTATGAACTAAATTTACAGCTGGATATGTACCGAATATATTATACAGGTGGATATTGCTATTAAAAAAAAGGTTTTTACAGTTATGTACAATAGCATAATAATAGAATTTTGTCAGTGAATATGATCTGTCCATCATGCTTTTAATTTACTTCGTTTTAGCTTTAAAGGACACATGTAATGAGCATTATCAACTGATGCGTCACAGCTGATTAAATAATAGGTAATATAGACAGACTTTCAATAAAAAAAAAGAAAAAAATTTAGCTTATGTCTTTTTTGATTCCTAGTGTGTAGGCCACCTTTAGACTATATTTCTAAGTAACTCCACCATGGAGCTACATTACGTTTAGGGCGGGGCGTTTTTATAATGAATTAATAATGAATATGACTTGCATGAAGTGCTGGTTTCAGGCTAATGGTGGCCAAGGCCTTTCTGCATGTTTCCAATAGAAGAAAACATCTCAACAAAAATGAACAGTTTTATTTGGTGTAAACCAATTAATTTTATTTCTGTTAGTCCATTTCAAAACACATCGTCTTAAAGGTTAGGGATTGAACTGCTGCAGAGAAGGAATGTCCTGATCCAATATTGATATCAGAAATTGGTCTAACAGCAAAAAACATTAATATTTGATGATATCAGCCTGCATAGTAGGGGTGTAAATCACATCCATCATGGCGATTTGATTCAGTATCGATTTCCTGACCCAACAATTCGATTGTTTTTGATACTCAAGAATACACCACGATGCAATACGATTAATCGGTTAATTTTTTTTTTACACCTTACAGGCTAAACAAAGTTTCAGGTTTGAAATAAATCAATGAAAGCTGTAATATCGTTATGCTTTTTTTTTTTTTTTTTTAGAAAACAGCAAATAACAGAAGTAGAAAAGTTGCATCAAAAAATACTGCAGAAAATCAGTGCAATGAGTGCAATGCAATACCTCGGCTCCAGACGTCCCGCCCCCTCCACAGACGCTCCGCTGCTCCTCTCAAATTGTAGCTGACCGCAGACAGCGCCGCAGACAGGAGGCCGGCTTGTTTTGTTTTTATGACCGAAATTGCGGAAAACAACTCGTGAAGTTTGACCCGCTAGAAGAGTGAGGTGCTCGAGTACGCTGGGACCCTTTTTCCACCTGGATCTCCGCTCTTTTTGGCCCTCATGTCCCTCCGTCGTCGGACTAAACTCGCCCCCACTTCCTCGCCGCCTCGGCCATATCTAGACCCACAGCGTGTAGCGCAGACCACGCTTCAATATTGACCATAATTTAAAAATGTCTGTGTCAAGCTCACTGCAACACACTGCTGTAAGAGTATAACCAGGAAGCGAGGTAGGAGGGAAAATAGGTTTAGCGCCACCGCAGCACGGGAGGGAGAATTACGCCCAGGAGCAAATGGATAAAAATAGACCGGAGGAAAAAAAAAACATGAATCGATTCTCTTGCGGACGTGTCGATGCATCGGATCGTCAGCTGTTGGATCGATGTATCGATACAAAACTAGGGATGCAGACCACATTTTTCATTAGTAAAAGAGATTGATATGGTGTTTTTAAATGGCAATATATCAGCATATGAAGATATAGTCATATTTTAATGTATCAATATTTTTTCCCTCGTCTTTAGAAGTTTTTAAGCCTGTAAAAAAGAAGTTTTTGAGGAAGAAGAAGAAGTAGTATTTTTAATTTTTTTTTAGACTTTAGAAACTCAGAAGCTGATCAAATATCGGGTTAAATATCGGTGGGGTGGCCGATGTCCGATATTCAGTTTTAAGGCCGATACCGATAGGGGGCCGATTATATCGTGCATCCCTATACAAAACGATTGATATTTACACCCCTACTGCATAGAACTATTATATTCCAGAAAATGATAGGTATGGTCTGCTTCTGTTTAAAGTCGTAGGGAAATCACATTAAAATGTCAAATCATTCTGGCTTAAATATGTATATAAATGTACTCTTTATCAGACCATATTGTCTGAAAAATGTGAAAATTTCTATTCTAAAAAAAAAATCCTGTCTTAAAACCTGTGGGGTTTTTTTCTCGTTATCTTATGCAGGCCAGTTACTTATGCATCTGCTTGTACACTGAAATTGGGCCAGTCAAATATCAACGGTCGCCTGTCAATCAAATTTTTTTTGGTCATAGCATCTTGATTCATGTGTCGCAGCTAATATACGCAACGGTTGAAATCAGAACCCTTTCCTTTCCCATTGAGTTGCGTCCCAGTGTTCACGGGGATGGACGTCTGTGTCTTCGGCAGGCGTAGAGCTAACAGAACTGGCAGCGTTGCGAGGCAAGGGCTCAAACATGTACGGCTGGAAGCCTTCTACACCAAACCAAGCTTCTGCCGCCCTGGCGTCCTCTTCCACAGCATCTTCGACCCCGCTTTCCTCCTCTAAATAAAAAATGGATGACGGAGGAGACTCATCCACGACCTCCGACCCCTTAACTCTACTCCTCTTGCATGTTTCCGCTGTCCATAGCGTTCCTTGACAGCGTCGTTTCTAAGTCACCAATTTAGTGCTACTTGGTCCCAATGGAATTTCCCATTGGGAACCTGCTAGACTAAGATGCTAACCGGTCAGCAAGATGCTTCCGACAAACCGACCACAACCAAACTTGCTTGCAAACCTTGCGCCTCAACAATCCCGGCCTCTTGATAATCGACCAATCAGATTCACTTTATTCACTCGTGTAAAGTCGAGCACCACTTGGTAGAATTCAGGAGAAACGGTTGGAACAGCCGCTTCCCTACGGCTTTAAAGTTCCGGTTCATAATAAATGGGTCAGTTGATCCCCCTCTCCATTTGAGGGAAAACCACAGGATAAAGCATTTTCTGACACGCATCTATTCTATTAGTTATAATTTAAAGCTGCAATATTGGTGTCCTGTGGAGAATAAACCAGTATTTAGTGAAACGTCTCCCCACAGAGGTGGAAAGAAGCTAAAAACAACTAATAGTTTATTTTAAATGAACACTTCGTACTGTCAAAGATGAAAAAAATTAACATCAGAATCAGTTCCATTGGTTAAACTGGGCCGATACAACGGTTTTATTTCCATCTACTTCCTGCTTGTTTTTTTCGCAGAATTGTTTGTGCTTCTTGTGTAATGGTGGGCAGGTTTGCTGGTGTCTTTAACTAAAGCAGTAGTTCAGAACTGTGGTCTGTTTTAGGGATGCACCATATAATCGGCCCCCTATCGGTATCGGCCTTAAAACTGAATATCGGACATCGGCCACCCCACCGATATTTAACCCGATATTTGATCAGCTTCTGAGTTTCTAAAGTAAAAAAAAAAAATACTTCTTCTTCTTCCTCAAAAACTTCTTTTTTACAGACTTAAAAACTTCTAAAGACGAGGGAAAAAATATTGATACATTAAAATATCACAATATCTTCATATGCTGATATATTGCCATTTAAAAACACCATATCAATCTCTTTTACTAATGAAATATTGCTATATGTCATCGTTATGCTACGAAATCCCCCGAAAATTCACAAAATTTTGCCATATTTTTATATGTTGATATATTGACGGGGTATCGATCTATTTTACTAACAAAATCTCACGAGAATTTGCAAAATATCACGAGAGTTTGTAACAGAACGATGAAATTTCACGAGATTTTGAAAGTAAAATAGATCGATACCGCGTTTTTAAAAATCAATTTGATATCAGCATATGAAAATATATTTGAGTATATTATTTTTCAAAGTGTCAGAAATGGATAACAAAACTGCTATTTTCAATGACTACTTATTTTTGTCCAGCTTTAACATCGGTATCGATATCGGTTATCGGCTACATGAGTTTTAAAATATCGGCATATCGGATATCGGCCAAAATCCCAATATCGTGCATCCCTAGTCTGTTTCTTATTCTGCATCCATATAGTAGAAAAAATGTATAATGCATCCCTGATTATTTCAAATAAAAGTGATTTTACTATCCGTATCTGTATTGTGCTACACACTGCTGCTCTACAACATGCAGCTTTAGCTTAATGTTTCCATCCCTCACATTTTATCTAACAGAAATATTTGTCTTTAATGGAAGCCAGAAAAAAGGCCTGCTGACGGGAAAAGCTTTGGTGTCCAAATGATCCTTTGTACATCCCTCCCATCCGAGGATCCACATGTAATGGTCTTTATTCTGGTGTTTCTAACAGGTCCAACAGGGAGTGTCAGATCGACCAGCACCACAGGAACCAGTGCCAGTACTGCCGCCTGAAGAAATGTTTCCGCGTCGGCATGAGAAAAGAAGGTAACTCCTCCAGGAACCGCTGGGTAAATCCCACCAGTTCTGATCTCTGAAAGAAGTCTAGTTTTCGTATCAGAAAAGCTGTTTTCTCTATTCTGGAGATTGAATGTTATGTTGATAAGCTTTATTCTACAAGGACAAAAAAAACAATATGAACTTCTGCACAAACTTCTAAAATGTCTGGTTGCAGCTGTCTAAATACAACAATCACATTTCTTAATTTAAATTACAAATTTTAAACTGTGCTCATATTATAACTTTATTCTAATTTATTATCAGTTTTAGTCACTTTTTACCTTTTAAAAGAACAAAAGTCTCTGCTTTTGGAGTTCCCAGATATTTCATTTACCGTATTATCCAGACTATAAGCCCTACTTTTTTTCCCACGCTTTGAACCATACGGCTTATAAGAAGCTGCAGCTTTTCTGTGGATTTTTACCAAACTACCAGAGGGGAAAGTCAGTTTGGGAAATAAAAGAATAAGGGGCTAATTTTCAATTGGCACAACAACATGCTAGCAGCGGCACAACGAAAAACAATTGTCACGAATTCAGACATTTTGACATTTATTTGCTGCATTAAAGCTGCCGAACCAATGAAGGGACTGTGCTAAATTCCTGAAATAAAGAGCTGATGAAGCCCCATCTTTCAGTAGAAGCTCTTACTGCTGTGAGCTAACAAGCTAACGGGAGCTAGCCTCCTTCTTCGTCCCTCCTTCAGGAGCTATATCCAGGAGCTCCCCCTACAGGTTTGGTGGGAGACAGTTCAGTAGATACCAGTGGCTTGTACATTTCCATTATTTATTTATTTGTGGGCGTGGCTTATAGTTGGATGCTATCTATACTCCGCAAAATACGGTAGCGTGTGACCCTATAAATAACAAAACAATGTTAAAAACTTCGGAGTAAATTTTCAAATGAAACAAATCTATTAAAAAAAACAGACTTTAAGGGTAACTAATGTTTTCATACATTTGATTTTTTCAAATAATTTTCTTTTTTTTGTTTTTTTAATTAGAGGCCTTAAGGAATCGGGAAGTCAGGAGAAAAGCAAACTTGTTTGAAATTCAGTCGGCCGTCATAAGGTTGTCGCGGGCAAATCGCTCTTCCTCTCAGACGAAAAACAGAAGCACGGGCTGTAGCTGCGTGCAACGATTGAACTAATCGTACAGTGTATGCCCGGCTTTAAGGAGTTCTCTAATGGTACTGCCACATGAGGCCGAGATGTAGAACTGCACCACTCTTTTGCTCTTTCTCATATTTTAATCTCCTACTTGATATTTTTTTAGTTGTTTTTGTCTTTATCACCTTAGCTGTAGTTGCCACTGGTGTTCGATTAGAGCAGGATGCCGTTCTCTTCTGAGTATAGAGAAAAAAACATCTTGAATATAAAACTTTGTTTGGTGAGGCCTATTTAATGTGAAGGCGCAGGTGCAGGAGCTTCCGACCCAAAGAAAATTAAGAAAAATAGGCCACAGGCTTATTGATGCATCAACGCTGAACAACTGAGGTATCACTCTGCTCATCAAACGATGTTTTAGTTCTAAAGGATCAAATAAAAAGGCTATTTTATAATATTGAAAAATATAAAATTAGAAGTATTTAAAAAAATGTGAGAAAACATCAAATTTGCTCTTAAACTTTTTTTTCATCAAGGATTTTTTTTATGCTTTACAACTTTTTGTTCCGAGATCCATTTAATTCAATTCAGTTTATTTCTGTAGCGCCAATTCACTACAGATGACATCTCAAGAAATTCAACCAGATCATTATCTAAGGAAAACCAGCTGATTGCATCGACTCTTTGACTCTTCAGCAATCCCTCACACTAAGCATGCTTGTAGCGACAGTGCAGAGGAAAAACTCCCTTTGAACAGGAAGAAACCTCCAGCAGAACCAGGCTCAGTGTGAGCGGCCATCTGCTGAGGCCCACTGGGGTTCAAGGAGACAGAAGCAGACATAGAAAAAGAAGCATAGATACTAAAGGCAACTGTCAACCAGCTCCACAGGCGGCCCCGTCCAGGAAACACACAGTCAGGCAGACGAGCTCCGAGCCAGATCCCATGTCAGAGGATGAAGAGAGCACATCCAGTTAGTCACAGTCAGAGAAACAGGACTACACTGGAAAACAGGCCAAGCTCCAACATCTAGAAACAAAGGTGTTGATGGCAGCAGCACAGCTGATATTTCTCTCCAGGATGGAGTCACAGCCAAACAGGAACAGACCAGATGAAGCTACTATGAGAAAAAGCAGAGAGAGCAGAACGTTAGAGATTGAATTTACAAAACATGTTTTTGCCTGAAAACAATTATAGAACAAAATTCTGTAAATATGGTCTCCCTGATGATTCACCAAACAATTGGCTGAAACGAGGAGTCCCCCGGCGCCTGCTTTCAGGTGGAAGCAGCCATCTATTTATCCACACACTGGTTTTCCACTTTAGCCTTTTGTTTTTCTTTAGGAAATGATTAGTTTTTTATCACTTAAAATGCAAGTTTTAGAGCAGCTTTAAGATCAATATGTCCGCTCACTCCCATCGTACTGCGCCTCTCGCTCTGTTTTTAGTCACTTCCTTCTGTCTTAATCACAGACCATAAAGCGTCCTAACGAGACGCATTACAGCTCCCTGTGGAAAAATTCTCCTTGCTGCACCCCCTCCATCGAGAGGTCAGGGGTTGGCTTCTCTGCAGCGTTCCTGTTTAGGATTCTAGATGAGCTCGTGCTTGCATAAGCTCACCACATGAACAAACAGGGCTGGAATCCACCGCCGCCGCTCGCTGCATGGCAGAGTAAATGCAGTTTTTCTGAAACAAACAGCTTTCAGGCTCAGAGGGAAAATCTAAATACTTGCATTTTTGCTTTTGTTTTTTAACAATGTTGATGTAACTTGTAAATAAGACTAAATATGCATCGACACACATTGATTGACTTAATCGGACCAATCTCAGGGTTCCTGCAGGTCCTTAAAAAGTCTTGAATTTAACTCGCCTTATGCTGTAGGAACCCTGAATCTCTTAAGAGGCAAGTAGGTTTATTCATAATGCATATTTTAGTGGCAAGATGATTCAGAGTGACGTATGAGGAAAAACGTATATTGGTTAAAGACAACAGATAATTAATAATGAATGTTTAAAATAAGATGATTATATTAAAAGAAAGATATAATAGGTAACAGCGGTTGACGTAATGGATTTTTACCACTTGCCCACTTTCACATTTCATTTGCCCAGAAACAATTTTTACTTGCCCAGTATAATGCTTGATAAATATAGTTCCTAATATTAATTTTTGTATATATATATCAATGAAACATGTTTGTTTTTTAAATGTTTTTTGTAATTCAGTATTTTTTAAGTTTCCAGGTTCCTGGTGTGTATCTGCATGCGTCAGATAATGAACTCAAGCCTACATTACCGTGTTAACATGCTTTTCAATCCTTCCTGCACATTCTTTTCAAACTAAACTACTAAACTACTTTCAAAACTAAACTACTTTGCTTTAAACTGTTGTGTGCTTGGAAAAATATAAATTGTAATGTTAAAAATCTAAAAAAAAACAGGTTAAGATAAATCACAAGACAGAAGTCAATGTCACAAATGAATAACTTTTATTTTAGAGTCACGGTATGTTTATAGAAGATAACACTATTAATATAATGTGACTTTTCTAGAGAATCATTATAGATGGTTATTTTATTCAGGGTTTCCACAGTCTGACATCATTTCAGAATTCCCTGACTTTTAACTGACTCAGGATTAGTTTTCCCTGACAAAATAAATGCAGCAACAAGACAATAATAATAACATAACAGGTCACCAATCTAACATGTTTTGCTCTATAACATTTAAATGCACCTCTCCAATATCTGAGAGAAAAAAACTTAATGAACATTTTTAATGTATGACCTGCATCACTGTACAGAAGACTGCCATATAATAGCCATATTTACTCTGCGCATGGCATACAATTATGTTAATTTCCCTAATCCCTGATCGATAATTTTTAACCTAGGGTTATCTGGGTGGTGGGTGAAATAGCCTTGTTGTTGTTTTTTAGCCTACCAAGTTGAAAAAATGTGTCTGATTCGCAGCAATTCCCAGACAAAAATCACACCATCTGTCAGAAAATCGTGCAGCTTTTTCAAATCACGCGCGAATGTGTGAAAAAACAACAAAAATGGCGCCGGCAACGCTTCTGGGTCGTTTTCATCAAATGTCGGTGGTTTTAAAGTAATTTTGAGTGATAAATAATTTTGTTTTGCGATCATTGTACTCGACCGGCGGCCAAATGCAATGAAATTTGTACTCTCCTGACAATAAAAACTACTTGCCCGGGGAGATTGGTTGATGGTTAACATTGAGCCCTGGGTAAGAAAGTTTCACTGAAAACTTGCAGTGGTTTCATAGGTCAGTCAAAGTTGTTTTGGATTTAAAGCATTTTAAGGTTTCAGCACTTTTCCAGTTTTCTAGGATTTTATTCCAGATTAGTATAAGAACGCATAAGAACAAAAAGCTGCTTCTTAATGTTTGGTTCTGCAGAGTAGATTAGAAACAGTAGACCTGAGTGGTCTGCCTGTTGATCCACTGACAATAAGTATGTATTTTTTTCGTTAAGATGTTCAGTGATTTCCAGACTAACAAAAGGATTTTAAAGTCTATTCTCTGAGATACAGGAAGCCAGAGGACCGACTTCAGAACTGGGCTGATGTTCTCGCTGTTCTTAGTTCTAGTGAGGATGCGGGCAGCTGGATCAGCTGTAGCTGTCGGACCTGCTTTTTAGGCCGACCTGTGAAGACGCCGCTGCAGTGATCGATTCTACTACAGATCGTTTTTCAATGTCCTGCTGAGACATCAATCCGTTTAATCCTTGAGATGTTCTGTAGGTGATAAGTCGACTTTGTTCCCATCTTTAAGAGCCTCTGAATGTTTAGTCTGGATTAGCTGGAGCTGTGTGCTAACTTTTAAACGCTCATTTGTTCCAAAAACTGTTACTTTTGTTTTAATATAAGATTTATTTCCTCTCTGCTTTTACCCAGAGCTGGAATGGGTTCCCAGTGATCGGTCTGAGCACGCTAACCGATATAACTGTTTAGTGTAAATAGCACGCACAACTGAACCGGACCGCGCCAGACGCAGCCGAACCGCCCTAACATGGTGCTGGTTCATCAGTAGGGCTCAGCGCCGTTCAGTTGTGGCGCAGTTCTCTGCGCCTAAGCAGACTGAGTCATCTCCTTACAGTCAGCTTCCTGTATTAGGCGGTAATGTACATCAGTAAATTGCTCGACAACGGCCACAAAACGGAAGAAGAATAAGGACTGTATATGGATGAATAAAAATACTAGCTTCCCTACGGTGTAACACAATTTCAAGGTTTGATTCTGCTCAGCAGTGTGATGAATGGTTTCTTCCTGAATCGTTACCTTTGTCTCTAAGCCCTAATTAGACTATCGTTTGTCGTATCTATTTCCCAAAAGCCGACTCTGTCAAGTAAATTCACCAAAGGCTGCCTTCTTCGCCCGACTCTCCGCAAACAATAAAATATCACAATGATAACAAAATATAACTTCCTGAATGTTACAGACGCCGCCATGTTGGTTTGCTTGTTTACATCTAGAGCGGAGGTCTTCCACAGGGGGTCTGTGACCCCTAGGGGATCCATGGAGGTACTGCATGGGGGTCGCAAAAGTTTTAATTGATTAGCCTTTTTATATATATATATATATATATATATATATATATATATATATATATATACTGCTCCCTGTATTTTTTTCCTCTAATAGAAATATCTTTAAATCCACATTAACATGAATTGAACAGACTGTAGTAAACAGATAAATGGAGGCAGAAGATGTCTTTCAGTCATCAATGCTCACATTCAGAGACACACAGGAGCTCTTTCAAGCTGGGCACCGTTTCATTCACAACACCTGTCCCATCAACCAGGAATCAGAAATACTTTAATAATCCCAGGGAGGGATTACTTTAGTTACATTACTCCATCTGTAATAGAGGGACTATAGGACCAGTTTGATCAAACACTATTTCATACAATATATATAATTAGGTCCCCGCTCCATCTAACCATCAGTTTGGGGTCCTTGGCCTGGAAAACGTTGCAGGCCGCTGCTCTACAGAGCAGTAGTACCGTAGATCTCCACTAGGAGGCGAGGAACCATGGTAGCATGGTGTATAAATGGTCGTAAGGAGCAGTTAATTCTCTCTAATTCTTTTAGACTGAAACGTTTCTTAACATTTTGTTTCTTCTCTTAACTTCCCCATATCCTGCTTCCTGTTTCACCCCCCCTTTTCCCCTCCCCGTCACCCCCCTCTGTCCCCCAACCTAACTACAGCAGTTCAACGCGGGCGAATCCCACCTCAGCCGAGCCTCAGTCCTTCCATCACGCCCATAGGTGGCGCCAGCGGCATCGGAAGCGGCGAGTTCTACAATAACAACAACGGCGGTGGGGGCAGCGGGGGTCAGCCGGTGTCGGAGCTCATATCCCAGCTGCTGCGAGCCGAGCCGTACCCCAACAGCCGATACGGACACCAGTACAACCAGCAGGCCGGGCCGGACGGCGCCATGGGGATAGACAACATCTGCGAGCTGGCGGCGCGGTTGCTCTTCAGCACCGTGGAGTGGGCCAGGAACATCCCTTATTTCCCCGAGCTGCCGGTTTCAGACCAGGTCGGATCAATCGGTCAATCTCAACTCATTTAAACCAGAACAAGGGATAAGAGCTGACCTTTCCCTCCGCTTCACAGGTGGCGCTGCTGAGGCTGAGCTGGAGCGAGCTTTTCATCCTCAACGCGGCTCAATCCTCCCTGCCGCTCCACATGGCGCCCCTGATGGCCGCCGCAGGCTTCCACTCCTCGCCCATGTCGGCGGAGCGCGTGGTGTCCTTCATGGACCAGGTGAGGATGTTCCAGGACCAGGTGGAAAAGCTGATGAGGCTGCAGGTGGACTCCGCCGAGTACAGCTGCCTCAAGGCCATTGCGCTGTTCTCACCAGGTGACTGTCGCTCGATCACTGTGAAGTAGATCTGAAAGACGCCTTTTCCTCATCTTAGATTTTCTTTCAGCAAGACACAGACTTTCATATAAGACCTACGGAAGAGGATTAGGGCCACTGAAAAAAAATTAACGGATTTTTACATTTTATTTCAGTTTAACATGGGAAAAAAGTCAAAATTCTGTCTTTTTTTCTCAGAATTCTGAGATTAAAGTCAGAATTCTGAGATCACAGACATTAAAGTCAGAATTCTGAGAAAAGAAGTCAGAATTCTGACTTTTTTCTCAGAATTCTGACAATAAAAAAGTCAGACTGAAACTGAAATAAAATTAAAGTCAAATTTCTCAGAATTCTGACTTTTTTCCCCATACTAAACAAAAAATTTTAAAATCAGTTAACTTTTTTTTAATTCCCCACTGGCCCTAATCCTCTTCCATAAAGACCTCCAGGCCTATAATACGCTATGATTAGTCACATGTTTTTGACTAGTGTCAAATTTCCATTTCCACATTTGTCTAAATGAAAAAAACAACGATTTGAGCTTCAAAACTAATTCAGTTAAATTCATTTATTTCTATTTTGCCATTTCACAACACATGTCATCTCAAGGCATTTTCCAGTTTAACCAGATGATCCAGTATGATTGATTCAAAGTTTTCTATCTAAGGAAAACCAGCTGATTGCATCGACCCATTGCCTCCAATACAATCCCTCACACTAAGCATGCTTGTAGCGACAGTGGAGAGGAAAAACTCCCTTTAAACAGGAAGAAACCTCCAGCAGAACCAGGCTCAGTGTGAGCGGCCATCTGCTGAGGCCCACTGGGGTTCAAGGAGACAGAAGCAGACATAGAAAAAGAAGCATAGATACAAAAAGAAGCTGTAAAAGGATGAAGAGAGCACATCCAGTTAGTCACAGTCAGAGAAACAGGACTACACTGGAAAACAGGCCGATCTCCATCATCTAGAAACAAAGGTGTTGATGGCAGCAGCACAGCTGATATTTCTCTCCAGGATGGAGTCACAGCCAAACAGGAACAGACCAGATGAAGCTACTATGAGAAAAAGCAGAGAGAGCAGAACGCTAGAGATTGAACTAACAGATTCTGCAGAGTGGGAGAATAGAGATAGAATGAAGCAGAATGATGAAAAAGGGGTCCCTATGTCCTCCAGCAGTCTAAGCCTATAGCAGCAGAACTATAGAGATAGATCAGGATAACCTGAGCCACTCTAACTAGAAGCTTTATCAAAAAGGAAAGTTTTAAGCCTAGCCTTAAAAGTAGACAGGGTGTCTGCCTCACGGACTAAAACTGGTAGTTGGTTCCACAGGAGAGGAGCCTGAGAACTAAAAGATCTGCCTCCCATTCTACTTTTAGAAATTCTAGGAACCACTAGTAAACCTGCAGATTGGGACTAACAAGATTCTCCTTTTTGTGGTTGGTTGCCAGCTCTGTTTCTTCATCGCAGCCACCATTATCACCTTCTTTAGGGACGCAATAAAATGCGGCTTCCTTTTTTCCTTGTTGGTAATTTGGAGGAAAAACTGCAACAGCTGGTGGGCGTGTTCTGTTTGTTTTAAGTTTGTTTGATAGTCTAAAGAGGAGGAGTCGTGGGCTTCACAGCCTTTGTATCCTTAGTAATAGGGCCTCAATTTCTTTCATTTTAGAAAGTTAGTGATAGTGATAATTTAAAATCGATCTTATGAGTCGGTCTTATGTACAGCAGCAGCCATTCCAAATGGATGGGTATCTTGAAATGATCTAGACAGATATGGGGCAACAAAAGAAGCCAAACGACCGCCATTCCACATCGCCGGACCGCTTCGTTTTTTCCCAATTTGCATGTTTTCAAAATAAGGTTTTGTTGGGTTACTGTATAAAACCTCAAACTCAACGCTATTCCTGACACTTTGATTTAGAAAAGCTTCCTGGATGGGAAGCAAAACGTCTTTAAAGTTGGAAACTAAGTCCAGTGGATTGTTTTTAATTTTCTGAAGTTGCTTTGCAAGTAGAAAGAAGAGAACAGCCTGAATTTCTATAAGAAAAACACTGAGAGTAAAAAAAACAATTTTTTTTTAGGTACGATATAACCTTAGAGGCATTAATGTTGATATTGGCAATTACATTTCATAGTTCATAAACCTAAATATAACTATTAACTGGTCTTATTAACTTTTTAACTTTGCTTTTCAATTAGCTTTTTACGTTTTTTTTTTCCAAATTAATTTCCAGTAGGTAATATATCATTCATGTGCTCATTTTATTGGTCAAATACCAAAATAAGATGTACAGACATGTAGCAGTATTGTTGCTGAATGTCTGGATATAGATCTTATGCTTCATTTTTAAGGGGCAAGTGATCAAAAACGGTAAGTTGCCCTTTAAAGGGTCAAGCTTATTAAAAAGCCGAATGAAATTTTAAGCAACTTTTTGATTTCATTTTGGACCACATCAGTTCTACAGTTCATGTTGCTCACAGCAACATATAAAAAGCAATAATTGATTGCTGTGATCTGCTGCAGCGCCATCTGTTGTTCAGACTGCAGTACTGCTCTGGTCATTGAGCAGATTTTAAGTTTTCCTGACCTGGAAACCATAAAAGATGTAATAGTTGAAAGATTTGGCTGTTTTCTTGTTTCTCTCAGCTCATCACGACTCTTTATGTAACCTTCCCACGCTGTTTAATAACCGCCTCCTCCTCTTCCTCCTGCAGATGCCTGCGGCCTGACGGACCCGGTCCACGTGGAGTCCCTGCAGGAGAAGGCCCAGGTGGCTCTGACGGAGTACGAGCGGATGCAGTACCCGAGTCAGCCGCAGCGCTTCGGCCGCCTGCTGCTGCGTCTGCCCGCCCTGCGCGCCGTCCCCGCCAACCTCATCTCCCAGCTCTTTTTCATGCGCCTGGTCGGAAAGACCCCCATAGAGACGCTGATCCGAGACATGCAGCTCTCCGGAAGCTCCATCAGCTGGCCGTACGTCCCGGGACAGTAGCTCCATGACGGGGGGGGGGGGGGGGGGGGTCTCCGTCTGGGATTAGTGACGACAAAGACCCACAGGAAACCTCCTGATCTCATCGTTGCCCATCTGCGTGGTTGTCAAGTCGCAGCGCCAGCTGGCCGTCATTCCATAACCCCCCCCCCCCGCCATGAAACAGGCTGGCGCCGCCTCATCGCCAATCCGCTGTCTCTGGTGCCAGAAAGCAGTTTGGACGCCCCGGCCTGCTGGTTATGCTGACTAAACTCCGCCTCAGGTGGAGGGGCGGCGGCGCCCTGCTGCGGCGGAGCCGCTGTCGCTCCACGCCGTCCCACTGGAACCAGAGGAAATGAGACCAACGTTTGTCATCTTCAGATTGTTAAACTAAATGAAGAAAAGAAAGGAGCTGCATCAGAGGAGTGACTCTAGTGGAAACAGACTAATACCTCATCAGACATCAGAATGCTTTAGTGCGATATTTCCTTACCATGAACCTCCTGTAAGATTTGTTCACCAGAAACCGCCTTCTTTTTCACAAACTGCTTTGTTTAAACGGACGATAAAGTCGAGCTCCACAGGCTAACGAGCTCATCCTCTTCTATCTGTACTTTTTTTTTTATTTCAATTTTTTTCTAATGGTGAGTTTTGAATCTCTGTATGGTTAACTCTGCTTTTGTTGGATAAACCTTTTTTTGTTTTTCTTTCTTTTAAAAAGATGTAAACATTGAATTTGGATTTTTATACTTTTTTTTTTTTTTTTTTAAACCTAAAAAAAAAAGATTAAAATAGAGCCGGTTTAAGATTTGACCGGTAAAATTCAAGATCATGTTCCTTCTTAAGGTGCCTTGCAAAAGTGTTCACACCCTTAAGCCTGTTTCTCACTAACGCCCTGGGATTGGTTTTACCCAGTGGTGACTAAGGCCCCGTCCACACGAAGTCAAACCCTGGCCTAAACGCACAAATTTTTCACCAAACCAGCCTCTCATCCATTCGAAGCCGGCGTTTCGGGGGTCTGTAAACAATCTTTTTTTTTATTAAGCCTTCAGAGTGGGAAGATTTTGAAACGCAGTTTTCGCGTCTCCATCTTTAAGCTCTAACCGCATTTTTTTTCTTACACGCATGCGTCATAGCGTCGCCTCTAAACACGCATGCGCGACACAGTATCACAACAACAATGGCGCCGTACTGTGTTGAATGGTTGCTGCTCATGCTACTCACCCTGCTGTCGGGCTTACAACAGAATCTTCTTCTTCTGGAATATCTCCAGGAAGAACAGAGCAATATCGACCACATAGTTCAGCACCTGAATTTGACTGAACCACAAAAATTGACCCGCAGAGCAACCGTGTATAAATATTAGTGCGCATGCCCAACATTTCGTCGCCTATTTTTGCTTTGGCACCACAGCGCCACTTATAGGCCTGGCATACATTTTGCAGCGTTTTCATGCATTCGTGTGGACGCTCACATTTATTTTACGTCTCCGTCTTTACGACAAATGTTCTGGAAAATATTAGCGTTTTGTATTCGTTTTGACTTCGTGTGGACGGGGCCTAACTTTAAGCCCAGTTCAAACACTCGTTCTTCACCAGTAAAAATGTTGCTGCTAACGTCCAACAGACCAATAGAAATGCACTCCTCACTCTAAAGGAAAACCTCCTGAGGTGAAGAGCATGTGATAAAAAGAAAAACCTAATCTTATAAGAAAGATAACTTTGAAAAAAGAAACTATAAAAATTAGAAAATGTTGAGTTTTCTATCAACTCTGTAACTAAATTCTCTCCATAAGAACATGAAGCCCTGGTAAAGTGAATTTCCCCCAATCAATAGCCCCATATACGCTACCCTTATGAAACCGTGCCGAGATCGGTCCCAGCACGGTAACCAAGGTAACTGCTGAGTGTAAATGGTAAACAAAACTGAACTGGACACAACCAAGTTGCGCTTAACTGGTGCTAGTTCATCAGTAGGGCTCAGCGCGGTTCAGTTCTGGCTCTGTTCTCAGATAACAATAATCGTATGGGCGGACCACGTGATCTCCTTACAGACATCCTCCGTAATCAGGAAATTTCGGACATTCATAAAAATACTAGCTTCTCTACCGTGCCGCACGATTTCCAGTGATGATTCCGTTTAGCGGTTTGATGAACCTCAGCTTCTGTCGTTTCCTGCGTCTGTAAGCCCTGATTAAGCCTGGCTTAAACTGTGCGATTTATTTTGCCCTTTTCTGGGCAGTCGTTCAAGAATTTTCCGATCGGCCAGACTGATGGTGTAGTGAACAGGGTGTAACAAGGTTACGATCACGCTCTCACAGCCACATCCTGATCAGGAATCGTGAGGTCAAGAGAAATTCAAACATGTTTGATTTTCATTTGACCATCGTGGGAAAATCGCTCAGTGGGCAAACAAGGATTCTTCTTAATCTTCTTCCTCTCAGATGAAAACATAGAAGCATGGCGGGGGTGCAATGAATGAAATGGAGTTCTTTCTGTAAAACTGACAGACCGTAGTAGCCACGTTTGCTCTTTGTCCAAATATGTCGTCACCTTTTCTTTTTAGGGCTTTCAGCGCAAAATTGCCAAATATCCAAGGTAGCGCGTTTCACTCTAGTGACCTTCAGATTCCTCATCTACTGGTTTGGCTTCTGGATAGACGAGTCCGAGTAGCGCAATCCCACTGCGGAGCTGAGTCCGATGTGGTTTTTAGACGTACAGTGTGAGCAGGTAGATCGGATCAGTGTCGAGCTGTAATCTCACACTGTACGGCGAAACCGCAGAGACGGTGAGAGCTGCAGCTGCGTACGACTAAAAAAATCATACGGTGTATCCCCGGCTTTAGACTATCCACTTCCAAAACGCCGACTCTGTGAAGTAAATTCACCAAACTCACAAATATCACAATAATGATAACAAAACTTCCTGAATGTTACGGACCCCGCCGTGTTGATTTGCTTGTTTACCTCTAGAGGGCAGTAGTACCGTAGAACGCCACTAGGAGGCGAGGAGCCATGCTAGCGCCGTTAGCAAACGGCCGTAAGAAAACAAGCTCGGCACGGATCGGTTTCAGAGGGTCGTATGTATAAAAACGCTTCCTGGTAATTTAAAACCTGCAAACCTATTAGTCACAATGGAAAAGAAGCTTTTTGAATTTTGTCGAGTTACAAACCAAAACGTTTCAATCATTGTGGTGGCGTACATGCTGCTGCGGGTTCCTGTTTGGATTGGTCAGGTTTTTATTAATAATCTTGGGCTGCTTCTGGGGCTAAATGAGGTGAACTATGAGATGTTCCCCACTTTAGAGTGTTTTTTTTAGGTTTTACAGTACTGGTGGCTCACATTCCTTTTTTTTGCTATATGAGAGAGAGGTCGGATTCGAACCCGGCCACATCCAGGACTAAGGCCTCTGTACATGGGTCGTACGCGCTAACCACTGCGCCACCAAAGCGTTCCCTTCCAGTATTGTTTTTTTCTCTGCTTGCATCAACGCTGAAGCTGGAAACAGAACCGCTGCATCAATTCACACACTGATGCTCTTTGGCTGTAGCCTCGTGAGACCATCCTGATCTCGTGAGCTTTCAAGGTTTCACTCGCAGATCAGTCTGGAGACTCTCCGTTGAAGAAAATTTGGAGCCGTTCACCAAACGAACGTCCAATCAGCATTGGCTTTGAGGCGGGTTGAGGTGTGACGCAACGAGAAGCGCGACAGTTCAGTTTAAAGAACATGGCGGCTTCAGCCGATGAAACTAGCGTTAGCGTGGCTATCGAGCAAGTTTTATGGGAATTACAGAGTATTTCTTCACTGAAATACTCTTTTTGCTCTTCTCCCGACTGGTTTCGGCAAGAGTTTGATCTATCAATTGGCTCCTCTTCGTCGTCGCTCTGTTAGTACGTCATATGCTTCGTTGATCTGATTGGTTTATTTGGCCCGTCTATCACCAACATAGGCCAATCAGCTAACCAGTATTTTCGCCTCTTCCCAAAATTACTTCAACGGAAGGTTTCCAGATGGATATGCGGAGCAAATCCATCTGGTGGAGTCAGGTTACTTTGGCTGCACTGGGGATTTATTCAGGAGTGTCAGAGTAAAGAGAAAATTAAAAGCACAAAACACTTCAGATTTTTATTTATACTAATACATCTTTCAACTTTGCAGTTACAGATCAGTTTACTTCAAATACTTCATATCTCACAATATGACAAAATATGTCAACAATCGGAGGGTGGGAAAACTTTTGCTAGGCACTTCACTGCGTCTGGAGTAACGATTTTCATAAAAATGTTTAAAAATCTGTATATATCTATATATATTAACGCCAACTCTTTCTTTCTGCATGTTCAGGTGTTTTTTGGATCTCTGATGGGACGATTTTTTTTCTCGTTTACACTATTATTCAAGTTTGATTTAAACGTTGAGCTATTCGTTTGATTCGTAGCTCCTAAATGTTATTTTTTATTTTTTACTACAATACCTCTGCTCCGACATCTTGAAGGAAGCGATCTGTTCATCCTGTGGCGGTGGGTGGTGATGGATGTAAATCTGCGATCAGAGGCTAGCCGATGCCAAAAAAAAAAAACCCCATCACACTGAGTGAAGCGGGCCCTGATCCTTTTGGATTTACCTCATGATTATTTCAAGAAGCAGGATTTACAAAAAGAAAAATGCACATTCTGTTGATTTCTGAAAGAATTTTGGTCATGAAATGATAGTTTGTAACGCTGCTTCTTGACGTACTGCTGGGCCCCGCGGGACATTATTTAAATGCTCAGCTACGTCTTAGAGGGTTCAAAATGAACATAGTTGCTTTGTCTGTTTTTCTTTTTGATCTGTTACTGAATTTCCTTAGATTCCGGATCTCCTGTAAATGGCTGTTATTAAAAAGACTCAAACATGACGACGTGTGAGAACTCATTTGGAAAATGTCATTTTCTGTATGACAAATAAATGCAACGTGATGACAACTTAGGATGTGTTCATGCAAATGTTAGGCTACAAAACAAATTCAATTCCGTTTATTTCTATTGAACCAATTCAGAACGCATCATCTCAAGGCTCTTTAAAGACAGTTTAGATAGATTGGTTAAAAGTATTAAGGAAAACCAGTTGACTGCTTCACAGTCAGAGAAACAGGACTACACTGAAAAACAGGCCAAGCTCCAACATCTAGAAACAAAGGTGTTGATGGCAGCAGCACAGCTGATATTTCTCTCCAGGATGGAGTCACAGCCAAACAGGAACAGACTAGATGAAGCTACTATGAGAAAAAGCAGAGAGAGCAGAACGTTAGAGATTGAACTAATAGATTCTGCAGAGTGGGAGAATAGAGATAGAATGAAGCAGAATGATGAAAAAGGGGTCTCTATGTCCTCCAGCAGTCTAAGCCTATAGCAGCAGAACTATAGAGATAGTTATGCTGCCCCTGGTTGAGCTTGCAATGCAGATTTTCTCTCACACCCAGCCTGCATACAGTGACAGTAGAGAGGAAAATTTGCTTTTAACAGGAAGAAACCTCCAGCAGAACCAGGCTTAGGACGGCCATCTGCAGAGACTGACTGAGGTTCAAGAAGACGGAAGCAGACATGAGCCCCATCTACACCACCCCCTGAAAACTGATCTGTGCTGAGCTTGGTTGCTTACGACCATTTCCACACCATGCTAGCACGGCTCCTCGCCTCCTAGTGGCGATCTATGATACAACCGCTCTCTAGAGGTAAACAAGCGATTCAACATGGCGACGCCCGTAACATTCAGGAAGTTTGTGGAGAGTCAGGTGAAGAAGGCAGCCTTTGGTTAATTTATTTGACAGAGTCGGCTTTTGGGAAGTAGATACGACAAACAATAGTCTAATCAGGGCTTATAGATGCAGGAAACGACAACAGACATGGATGCTCATCCCACTGCTAAGCAGAATCATCCCTGGAAATCGTGCGGCACGGAAGG